TGCTACGCGCTGAATGGGTACATGCCTGATGGATACATCCAATCTACCGACTTTCCTGAAGCCAGTCTTTGGGACGAGGAGCACAGCAAAGAGCAATGGATCTTCCTTAATGGAGTCGCTGTCGGGTGAGCCTTCCTGTGTTTTGCTTCGAAGATGCCTGAAGCTAATGATCGCACAGACAACACTGGCTGCGAAGCAATATCGACCGGATCTCCTTGACCTTCCATCGCAGAGTAATTGGTGTCCACAATAAGACGTAAGATGACAACTATACCTTATTTCCGATTCATTTTGACATTTACTACAGTGCCGGCGTCATCTTTGATGTCATTCAATGCCTCCTTGAGCGCTGCTTATACTTTGGTACAGCCGATACTAGAGCGTGCTTCGCCCTGATCTCGGAAGCTCTTATGCACCCCGAAAAGGAGAAGGTGGTCCTAATCCTTCACTCCCAGGGCGGGCTCGAAGGCAGTATCATCTTGGACTGGCTCATTAACCAACACCCCCGAGACATCCTTCAAAAGCTGGAGATCTATACCTTCGGCAATGCTGCAAACCACTTCAATAACCCACGCGTGTTTAAGACCGACCACGGCGAGCACGACGGTCGTAACCGCGCCATCCGCCACATCGAGCACTATGCCAACTCGTTTGACTTCGTGTCGCGATGGGGCGTCATGCACTTCAAGAAGAAGACCGCCGACCAGCAAGACCGCTCCGTCATCTACAACCTAAACGCGGCTGTTCTATCCGGCCGCACCGAGCCGAAGAAGCACCTCAGTAAGAGGCAGATCAAGGAGAACAACAAACTCGAGAAGGCCTGGAACTCGTATAGCGGCGCCTTGTTCGAGCGCATTGGCTCTGGCCACCAGTTGAACCAGCACTACCTTGACAACATGTTTCCCCTCGACAAGGGTCTCACGAAGGTCCAGCAGAATGGCGACGGCTCCCCTCTCCCGAACACGTTCATGGATGCCGAGGTCAATGTGTACAACGATCCCAAGCAGATCAACAGGCTAAGGAACCTGCAGAATGGATTCTATGGCCATGAGCACAATGGTGAACACCATGGTATCAATGGAGATGTCACTATCAAGAAGGTGTATCAGCTGAGTCGTCTTTGGAAGTACGTCAATGGCAATAGTCCCAAAGAAGAGGAGTATGCAGGAGAGTACTGATATGGCCGTGGTTGATTGTACATCTGCTTTTGTCACTTCATTGCCAAAAGTCATTCAATACCTACAATATAAAAACCATCGATCTCAGGTTTGCCAAGTACTTTTAGAAGAGTCGTCATGAGCCTCGATGCCCAATTGCTCATCTGCTCTGATACTCCACCAAGATTGCTTCGCCTGATACAAAAACCTACACGTTCTGAATGCTGCCTGCGTCAACGGCCTTTGAAAGGAAACCACAATTAGTTGGATTTAGATGAAGTTTAATCAGGGCACATGGAATTCAGGGCGGGCAGCCATGGTTCTGAAAATGTAATGGCGCTAAACGTCTGCTTTTTCGCTTCATGGAAACCCAGAAGCGGAAGTGTGGTATTGTTTCTTTTGTGGTTCCTGATTCCTTCCTAACTACTTGTGGTACCGTTTCATTCTTTTCTGAAACGAATATCCCAAATTATGGCATTCTCTTCGCGTATCTCTCCTTCTGACATGCGCTTCTGAATTCCCATGTGCCTAAGGTATCATGAAGTGTTGACAGCAGTGGCGTTAAATGTGGCTCTGTTTATCTGCGACGTCGAAGTCAAAGCAGTGCGTCCTGCGGCCATCCCCATCACGATTACAGCTTTGCATCGAATGTTTTGACTCGTGTCCGCCGACGTTACAACTACCTGTCAAAATGAAATACCATCAACGACGAACCAAACCTATGCACCATGGAGTCTTTGAATTCAGATCTTTTACCCAAAGGTAGAAACCCCTGAAAATAGCCTTACGGACCTGCTGCGGACCTGTTGCGGACCTGCCTCAAGGCACTGGACATCTTGTACCCCGAACCTCAACATCGCACCACTGCTGTGCTAACGGCACATGAATCCGCATTGTCAAAGGATCAATTATCAGCGTCAACAACATGCCAGCTTTGGCTCTCCGCAACGGCCTGTCTCGCGAGTCTCAAGGACATCTAAATGACGAGACACAAACAAGGCCCATGATATGAACTTCTTATTCTCGGTCAGTTCGCACTAATGCTTCGAAGTAAGCTGGGCTCAGCAATTGAGCAGCGTCAAGAATTCAGTTGAGCCTTTTCTCACTTAATGAATCTGGTTAGAAACTTGGTCGCATTACCTATTCACTTGTGCATTGCACGGATCATCATTATCACCAACAACTCATAGTTACTATAGTTGTACTTTGATATCAACCGTGGATCGTCCCAGCTCGTAACTCCGGCATCGGTTTGGGCTTGGAGGTGGAGACTTCCGAAGCGGTCCGGTAGTGTGGGTCTCTTCATCGGCAACCGGCCGAGATTTTCGGTCCTCTCTCCGAAAATGCTGGTAGATACATATGCTCAATTCCGCACACATCGACGCAATTCCAACCAAGTAATATTGTTCCAGAAAGTTACAGTAAAATAGTTCCACAGTTTCCCGATGTCTTTCGGCAAGATTCCGGAAAGTACTTCGTGCATCTCCGGCAGTATCCTGAGAGTGATGACATTGCATGCCTACATGGAAGTTGGAGGTACATACAGGCGGATCATGCTAGAGAGTTCGCTGCTGCGATAGGTCATCTAGTAAAAGCTTGTTCATCTAGATTTGTGGCCCAGTGAATCCTTCGCTCTAGCTGGAGATAGATACCTTGTTGTTGCTGACAAGGTCATCGCCGGGAAGTAGACAAATCTTCTCAGTCAGGCAATGTCGCGCGATTGTTCTATTTCTAAAGGTCCACGGATCGGCGGGATTGCCCATCCTTAATGGGAGAAGCGCGCTTCTGAGCTCATTGGAAGCAAGATAGCCAGCTTTCACTGCCAACGAGATAAAAGCGCGCGGATAGAGCGCACAAGACATTCGCACCCTGATATAGGCTCCCCTGGGCGCAGCCGTCTCAGAACAGCGAAAATGTCCACTGACGCCGCTGCGCCGCACGAGAACAAGGAAATAATTTTTGAATGTGGAATTTCTGCAACTCATTTCCAGATTTGTTCCTGTTGGCTGGGTCGCTGCGCCCGGCCGCAGCATCTAAGAATCAGGCTGTAGTATCTTGCCTGCCAATACAGTCAACAGAACCTTCAGCGGCAAGCGGAGACTGAGAGGCACAGCGGAAACTCTCTTCTGGCTGGAGACCGGTTCCCTGAAACCGGGGTGGCACGGCCGGCAGGTGAACCAATTATATGACCCCAGATGCCGATCCGGGCATCGCCCACGGGGAAGTTTACCTGCCTCGGACTGTGTGTTCATAACATACCCATAACCATGACCTTCGATACCCTAATTTCGTGGGGATGAACAACGACGCAGCTTTCCGCCCCGAATGGCTTGCGGTCCTCGTGCGCTTCCCCCGGAGTCTTTCAAAAGCCCACACAGGCTGCCCCTGAGCGGATGTTGGAAATTGTCGGACAATCGGCACAGCTGATATTAGGCACTGGGGTGTCATGCTTGGCGTCTAGCTCCTGACCAGTCAACCGCTATTCTTTCCGCAGAGTCTCCATAGCCAGCGGAAGCGCCAAGAGGCTTGCCGCGGCGGACTATCCGTATCTGTCGTCCAACCCACCCGGGCTCTGGAGCAATGCACTGGCCGCATTCATGACGTTGCTTTTTCCTTTTTGTATGACCAGGCTCCCGATGATATCGAGGGTGAGCCTGCAGGAACATACGACACAGCGGAATCAACAATCACACTCCCGAGAATTGATCTTGGACAACTGACAGAAGACTGGCAGCGACTGTATCCTGCCTCCGTTTAACAACAAGTCTCCCAACAAGTACAAAAGAAGTGAGGCTTCAATCTGGCAAGGGTGCTATGTGTCCTGGGCGTTTCAGATCCATGTAATTGCACCAATACGTCGACAAGCAACGGCAAGCAACGACAAGCCAAACTGGATGATTGCGGTGCTGTTGGCTCGGTCACCTCCCCCCCTGACCCTCGTCAGTTCTCTTGCAGGCCGCAATCTGTCGGCCTTGTTCTTGTTGGTACTAGGTAACATAAAGACCGCACAGCTGGTTCCAGGATGGCACGGTCTTCCACCCTCGAATGGGGCCCCGATCGCGTGATGCTGACCGCGGCTGTTATCACGTTCCTTGCGATGCCGACCATATCTCAATGAAACGATCAGTGATCTATCCCAAGTCCAGACTTAATTTTACATTCAATGCAGATAAAGCGAATCCACATTTGGTATGTATTTCCGCGAGCGCAAGTCGCAGCCTGTCCCCAAGTCATGCATGTAAGAGAGCGGCTGAGAAAAAGCAGGCAAGAATTCGAGAGCTAACTGACAATGCACCGAGATCAACCGGGGTGATCGGACCATCCACCTGTCTAATATCGTTGGGCATATCAGGACGGCTACCCTGTTCGTCAGCGGCTGCTCCCTTTAGCACGCAATACAGAAAGGATCAAGCATGCACTTCCTTGCCGGTAATGGCAACGGGGCCCGGCCAGGCTGAGAAAATCTTTGCCCAGAGATTTCGGGTTCCCTTTTTTTCTTGCTCCATACCTACCTTAGGCAACCGAGACATTGCAGTCAAAGTGTGTTTGACTACAATGTCTCAGTCATGACACTCATGTGCGACTATCCGAATAGGAAGCAGAAAGTCAACTTCTGATTGTCTACTAGACTAATAAGTTTCACTCATGGCATTGAATTTAGATTAAGCCATGTTCTCTAGGAGAAAGAGACAGTCACCTCGAACCGCCAGCGTGTATGGTACCATCAAACTCGTAACGCGTCTTTCAAAACAATCTCAAACGCCACCTCCTTCGCGTGATCAGGCTGACCGCAGCTCAGCGAATGATGCCCCAACGCCCTACACCACCACATTTTTGCCCATCTCAACGATACCGCCCGTCCTGCACCTCGGAGCCCATGAGCTCGCGTGGGTTCCCGTCCCAACCTTCGTTTACTCTTGCTGGCATCTCATGCATCTCATCTCGCCCAGCCGGGCTTGGGGTTGTATAATTTGAGCTCTTGGCGTAGCCGTCGTGTTCCGCGTAATGAGGGTAGGCGGTGGCAGCGGGCTGTTCAGATGCGTGACTGTTCTTGGTGCGCCTTCTTCTGCAAATAAGCCAAGTTGCTAAACCTGCAATAATCGCAGCTAACGGAATTCCAACTCCGAGCCCGACTTTGAGTGCAAGAGCTTCGGAGCCAGAGCTGGACCCATCCGCGGCGGCGGAGGATTCTGAAGCTGAGCTGGTGGAAGCTGGGTCTGGGATGGCAGTGGTCGCGAAGGCCGTTGCGGAAGAAGTTGTAGTCGTTGCAGCTGTTGAGGTTGTTTCCGTGGAACTCGCGATGCTCGTCGAGCTCGTCGAGCTGGGGGCAGAAGACAAAATGCCGTTGTCATCAAGGTAAACCTTTCCTATCGAGGAGTCGCAGCATGAATCGCTTCCCAGCCGGCAACAGTAGGTGTTGGTATCACAGATTTCCACTCTGGGGAAAACATATTCTGCGAAACCTGTGTTGGAAGTTGTCTCGTCTGGTAGTAAGATTTATTGTTAGCGATCTGCGACGACGATTGCGAGACGTGGGGGTGGCAGCCCACTTACTGAAAACGCAAATTTGTGCGCAATCGCTCCTATCCCATGGGCTTGAGAGGCATGTTCCTCGGACCAAGATATTATCGCGAGTGTCGGGACTCTTGCAGAGTCGGTTCGGCATACATGTGTCCTTCTCTCCACAGCAAGAATCGGATCCCGGGCATACTTTCTGGTCGGGCCATGCCAGCCCACTGTAGCTATAACATGTGGTGCATTCGGATACAGCCGTGAAAAGAACCAGCAAGCAAAAGGAAATCAAGATTAAACCAGTTGATCTTGACATGATGATAGTCAGAGGCTAGAGCTCCAGGGCACAGACGTGTAGCATTGAAATGATCTGGGTAAGGCAAAGAGAGTGTATGTGCAACTTGGATGGACGGGAAAGACGGGAAAGACGGGAAAAGAGTGGGAGACACGAGCAAGAAGAATAAGACTGCGGAACCTGGGCAGTCGGTGTCCAACCAAAGCCCCTCCGCTGCTTTCACCCACTACCTAGCAAGCTTGGCAACTCGTCTGCCTGGTGGGCGATTGCCAAGGTAAAAAATCATTCTTGTCGTGGTTGGGAGCAGCATTCCGCCCCTCGAGTCTGTTCTGTGCAAGGTGCTGATTGCACACCATCCCAAGTACGCCAAGTCTCGAGGTGCATGTAGCCGCCGTGCAGCCCTGTCGAATCCCTGTCCGGCGCAACGCTGTGTTGGTGCAAGGAGCATGGCAAAAAAAAAACGGCGGCGGCGGGGTCGGGCGCGAACCGGCCCTCAGCGATTAATGAGCCTCAATGTAGCCTAAATGTGACGAGACAAAATAGGAACATCATGGAGGAAGACAGGCTCTTGCGACTGTAGGCACCTAAGATGCGAATGCAGGGGTTACAGCTACGTGTTTTTGTTGTGTACGCTTCTTCACGCCACGCATTGAAAAGCGCTCTACGTGACAAGCGTTGCCTCTTCTTGGCTACAGCAAGTCACTTTTTGCCATCGAATGATGGACTCTGGTTGGCCGCCCAGTTCGTTGGTTCTGGTGACCCCTTATTCGACATTGTCCTTTGTCGGACCCCCCACCACCCTTGCACAATTACGTTGACCTGTGTACGTAACCAAGCTGCCGGGGTCGTGGCACAAAATTACTAGAGTGAAGTAGTACTGGGGCCCCCCATCTTCTGGATTCGCTTCGATTGTTCTCACGCGACACACTCATCACCAGAATTCGCAATCACGCCTTCGCGATTCCTGCTTCAGCATGGTCGTCGTCGCCATGCCATCCTCACGGATGACAACAGCCGTTCTTTCAGTATGTCTCTTATTGATGTTTTTCTACTCATTATCCATTTTTGCTCCTTCATATCATCCGACATCGCCGACACCGCCTGCGGCGCAACCGCCATCTCATCAGCATGGCGATAAGCCCAAGGAGGACCTGCCCTCGGCATGGCAGAAAGAGGCCGATTCCATCATTACGCAGGCGAGGGCACTCATCGAAGACCCTATCCAACCCCCTTACAAGGACAAGTTCTATGACCTCGGCCAACGGGTCATAGCTGCTCGAGAGTGGGTGAAATTCATCGACAACGCTCCCAAGTCCGCAAACACCCAAGTCCTTCTCGAAACGGTAGAAAGCGCGATTGGATCATGCTTCCCTTTCATTCAGAACTCGCCGAAGCGCCCTGATAGCAAAACACCCTTTTCAGACTTGCGTTCGTCGATCGTCCCGGGGTCACGTGGGTTCGTGATTCCGACAGGGAAGGGAACGATGAGATATGCGACCCACCTCATCGGCGCACTTCAGGAGATCCTGCACAGCAACATGACAATTCAGATTGTCTATGCCGGCGACGAGGACTTCCCACCAGAGGACCGTGAGAAGTTGCGCTCTCGATTTAGTGAAGTTCAGTTCCTCGACATCTTCACCGTTATCGACGACACGACTCTGCAGCTCGCAAAGGGTGGTTGGGCTATCAAAGCCTTCGCAGCGCTCTATGCACCATTCGAAGAGGTGCTCCTCTCAGACGCCGATTCTGTCTTTGTACAGGTTCCCGAGAAGTTGTTCTCAGATCCGTCTTACGAGACGACGGGCGCTCTTCTCTTTCATGATCGCTTGATCTGGCAGCATGCCTTCGCCGAACGCCATGAGTGGTGGAAGTCTCAAATTCATGAGCCCAGTGCCACGCTCAACAAATCGCTTGTCTGGACCGAGGACTATGCCGAGGAGGGAGACTCGGGAGTCGTGGTCATCGATAAGTCACGTCTAGATGTGCTGATGGGCTTGCTTCACGTAGCATGGCAGAACACCTATGAGGTGCGAGAGGAGGTCACCTACAAGTTGACCTATGGCGACAAGGAGACTTGGTGGTTTGGGTGGGAGCTTAGCGGATCGAGCTACGCATTTGAGAAGCACTACGGCGCCATGATCGGCTGGTTCAAGGAGAAGGTGGACGACGCTGCACAAAGGATTTGCAGTTTCGTCATTGGTCATGTGGATGTGAGGGACGATCTTATTTGGTACAACGGAGGCCTGTTGAAGAACAAGAAGGTTGATCCCAAGGAATTCGGTCTTCCGACGCATACTTTGGTTGATGGGAAATGGGAAAAGGGCGCAGATCGAACTCAGATGAGCTGCATGGTCGGGGAGAATGTGAAGACTTTGACCAAGGACATGACATGGGTTTTGAATAGTTCCATCACTTTGGCGCAAGAGTTGGACATGGAGTTTGGCTTTGTTTAGATATGGAATAGCATTTTCGGTGGCCAAGGACGAGCCATTTTCTTGTATCATACCCCAAAATCAATTTTTCTATATTCTTCCATTGTCTTGTCTCCTGAATCTTTTCAGATCTGAAGACATAAATCATCTGCTGGTATGTGAAATTGGTAAGATTCTATGGGTTTGAGACCGCAGTCAAAAGTTAGCTGATGCCAATAATCAAGTGAGAGAATCTGATATGCTTGGACTGTCGAAAAAGCCTAACGCTACTTAATTTCAATCTTCTCTGTGGCTATCGACATGATGCTGTCCAAAGCCGCTTGCAAAATGCTAGTCACCTCATCTGTCTGTCCTCCAGTCTGCAAGATCTCTTGAATCTTTTCCATCCAACGACGCCATCTACTCAGACCCCACTCCTCCGTGTTCGCTTCTTTCATATCCTCGTAGATGAGCTTTCCGGCATGGATGAACCAGTTTGAAGCTACTAGTAGTCTGCATTCACCGAGCTTCCCAGAAGGCAAGGAATCTTCGAGCGCGAGCTCAATGTCGACGCTCGGATATTTCAGGTGACTGTCCCACGGCTTGTATGCTTTGGATCCATGGTAACGAGCCAAAAAGGAGGAGAAGTTCACCCACTCATCGCAAGTGAGGATGAAATCTTTCTTTGCCTCGGGGTCCTTCGGCTCAGGCCGGTCGGTTGCTTGTTCACAATAAGCAAGTTACCACAAGCGAAGTGGTCTCTGGACTTACCAAATTTTGCATTCCAGTTCTCGTCACTCATTGAGACAAATACTGAATCATTGTGGTATGCATGGTACTCTCCCTACAAAAGTAGTAAGCAGAAGCTTCGTGGGAATAAGAGGTCGAACAGAGTTTGACGTACGCCCCAGCTTTGGTATGTCACCTTGGGCAGATTCTGTAAGTCGACCAGAAGCCTCACCAAGCAGTCTTGTCGAGGGTCGTCATAACGCAACAGCCACGACTGGCAGAAAATCGCATCATAAACGCCACCCAGATATATGGGCCAGCCTTTATCAGCCATCATGTAAGGCTTGTTGAGAGGGTCCTTGCTTGACGGGAGAAACTTTGCCCAGTAATCGGCTCCTATGCGGATTGAGGCTTCAAGAGTGGATAAGTATCCCCGTTCAGGGAAAGAAAGAAGCATTTTGAGAAGGATTGCAGCGATCTCGGTGTCTTGTTCGTCTCCCCAACTCTCCTGGGCAGCGATTTGCTCTTCGAGTTCGGCCCTCCAAGGTTCGACGGGAGACGCTGCCTGGGGTTCTGCGTTGCTGCTGACTGCCATGTTGTTGTTGCTGGGTAAAGCGTTGTGATTGATGGTAGACAATGAATTGATCTGATGCTTCGACAGGTGTGACATTGATCAAGAGTTGAAGACTTGCATAATTGGGCGGCCGACGGTTAAAAGACGAGGCGACTGGCAGTTTCGCGCAGTTAGACAATGAGGAGAAACCAAGTTTCCTTGTTGGTGAGGTCTCCTCACTTGGCTGGCGTGGTCGCAAATAATAAGCGCCGACCGTTGGCTGCACTGCCCCCTCAGCGAGCGCATCGCCGGACCAATGTGCTGGTACCGCGGAGCTAGTTCCTTACCCGCTGCGCCAGACAGGGCCCGAAACCTGCCGGGTCACCGAGTACACCGGCCCAACCAACATATGATCAAGACTGGCGAACAGTCATTGGCTCGTCAGCGAAATTCCCGCTCGGGTATCCCGTCAAGTAGGGGTTGATTTTCCCGGTTCGCAACCCATCGGTCGTTTGATGTAGGAAGAGGGCTCTTTCTCTCAGCCCAACCAACATATAGCTAATTATGGCAGACACGGCGGCTCCTATAAGCCAGCACTTGAAAGATTTAGAAAGTGAACTGTATCTACTTAAAAAGGGTTCAAAATATGCTGTTGATCTTTTTTTCTCTAAACATTCAGATTACATGTATTCGCCTCCTGGAAAGGAAACCTTTCTTTGTGTCTTTGATTGACTTAAATATTGTGCTGGCCTCAAAGCCTGACCTTTCCGTGATATTTTCCTTCCTCTGTTTTGTAAACGAAAAATCATCCATCACCGCATATCGAAAAGATGGGCAATAAGAACTCTACACCGCAGAGACGCAACACCGACAATACTGAGCAGCAGCTTGTCAGTCTGCCTCCTAACAGTCCTGTCAAATGCACTCACTTGAGGCCTATAGTCTGTCGTTAGCAGACATGGCAAATAACACACATATCAGACGCTCATTGGCTGACTTATCGATTCTGAACAGCAATACCATACACCTCATGGTCCGGTTTCCGCAGCAGACGTGTCGAAACATCTGGAGACTGTGCCCCCGCCTCACACACGCACTCGATCTAACTACCCTCATCCTTACCGAGGCAGGGAGGGCCGTGGGGTCAATGAGACCAAGACCTTTGACGATTATGTCACTGGACCAGGACGATCTCAAGGGCCTACCGGTGTGATGCACGAGTACCCCATCTCGACATCTGGACATCAATTCAATTTCCAGTACGACCGCCCCTGTCAGAGAGCAAGGCAGGCACAGCGACCAATCCATCCGAATGAACGAGCGAACGTGATGGGACCCATCAACGGCCGACCGGTGAATACCCCCGGGCAGACCCGTGCTGCTGTTCGTGTGGCTCAGGTAAACGGCGCAGAGCAATCAACTGTTGTTGGTGTCATGGTTCATCCGCAAGGAAACCTGCAGAGACTTGAGCGAGCACCTCTTGAGCCACTGAGCCGCGATGGTCGGCAAGAGATGACCAGGCACGCTGACGAACGCGGTCGCACCCGAACGTACCCACCTCGTGGCGTAGACGCAGGTTTCGTTGGGGGTGTCGAGACAAGATTTGCCAAGGAACGTCCACCCGCTCATCCAGAGATGAGGTTGGGTTGAGGATGACTTCTTTCACACGGAAGACAGTATTGTACGGTCTGTTTTACTTCGGCTAGTTGTGGCTCTTAATTAAGGCTCGAATTCTGGGCTTCGGTGGCCATCGATGATAAAGATGCCTTGGAAAAGGGACCTGCAAATAAATTTTCTAGAATGGAAGTGCTCGCAACTGGGGTATATCTCTCAACGTGACCTGTCTCTCACTAGGACCTTGCCAACCTTGATTTCTTCAATGCTTGGTTCTTGATTTGGAGGCGACCTTTGATTCCAAGCATTGTCCCAATCCTTCTGAACTTCCCTGATTGGACCGGCTTGCATAGGGAATGCCTCTAGATCGTACTGTTGTTTGATCCCTTGTACCTGCTGTAACCAGCCCTCACGACGACCATCAATCGACGTTGCTCTCGGATTGTAGCCCCACATGTCATCCGAATTAGTTCTAGACAAAGTTGAAGGATATGTCAGGGTGTCGCGTTGAGTCTTCAAGGATCTTCCCCTCGACGACAGGCTATTTGCTGTTCGCGGCGTTCCGAATGACCAATAGAGTAAGGTCCGTCCTCGTTTTCGAGCACCCTTGCGGCCCGTCCGTGGCCGGTTCGGTGAAAATTCTTGCATATCGAGCTTCCTTTGGATCAACAAGTTGATTGTTGGCAAACAAGCACAGATAAGTCCGATTGCTAGCTCCAGCGCTCTATTCGTAGTCAGCAGTCTACTCACACTTGATGCATCTAAACACAAGACCTACGTGGTGATGTCTAGCAGAACGAAACCCTCCGTTCTATCTGAAGGCTCAAGGAATAGAATGGACTTATAAAGACGGAAGATGGATACCCCAGTGGCAATTCCGCCAGCACTGAGCAGAGCCACCACTTTGACTTTTGTCCAAAAGGGTAGTCGAAGGGAAAACATCATGGCGAGAGGGACCAGCAAGATGATGATGTCGGTAAAGACGCCCAAGCACATGTCGGATATAAACACCTTCCGCTGGTTCAAACAGTTTGCTGGCTTGATATCGGAATCCCATGTGGCAGCGACTGGTATACAAACCAAAACCTTCAGCATCATTATTGGTATATAGCAGAACAAAAGCACGTATATAAAGGTGAAAACACCTCTAGATACCCTTTCGTAAACTGCGAATACTCGTGCTTCTAGGAGAAGAAGCGTGGCCTTCGTTAAGTAGGCTGCTGGGCAGTAGAGAATGGAACCGATATAAAGCCACTGGCAATGCTTAGCCACGAATGGTATTAGGCAGCTTGTTTCCACAGAGTTGCGACCTACCTGCAGGACCTCTTTGTATGCTTCTTTCGTTACTTCCCATTCGTGGTAGCCTTCTCCGTAGTGCGCCACTGTCACTATCCATGAGCAGATAATCAGGTACAAGGCACGAAAGGCGCCACTTACTGACAAGAACAGTGCTGATATAGCACATCCACAGGCCCTGAAGATAATGTTACCAGGGATGTTTCCCTTCGCGATGAGAGAGGAATCCTACATATGCTGCCAAGCACGTCCCTGCGGTTGCGTTAGTGTTCATCCCTTGATTTCAGTCCTGGAGAGGTACTCACAATCTTCCGTGTACCAGTGAGTGTTGAGCGCCGTCTTGGAATAGCTTCGCAGACCGAACATGATTGTCGTCAATCCTGCCATCACAGCTAGACCGACCACAAGATTCGTTCTCCCAAGATCCTCCGGCTGCGCGAAATTCGGTACCCGCCCCGGCGGAGGCGGAAATGCTCCCACCGGGCCAGCTTCTTGCGCCATGATGTCGCCCACCCGAGTTCAGCTGTTCATTCAAAGTCGTGATGGTCATTGAAGAATACACCAAAGCAAGTGGAGTAAGTCGGGTTACATGGGGGGGGATGGGCAGACAGACTACTATACTCTTGTCTGGGCAGAATAAGGTTCGAACGGATCAATCCCGATGGCTCTCGGGTTAACGCCGTAAGAGCCTTATTGCACGGAGGAACCTGGAGCATTCCGAACTATCAAACTTTTGGGGAAGATGCGAATCAGATGTTTGTGGTCGTGCTACGCGACTCATGGCTTGGAATGCGCAAATGATCACCTTGTTTACGCCCTGAGCTTGTTTCGCCAAGGTCAGTTCCGTCTAGCTATCCTTGATGAGCAACATCGGTCAAAGCTTGTATTTGGTTTGGAGGATTGAAACTTAGGTCAACCTGACTTGGAGGTGGGGAAACCGAGGGTCTTGCGCGTGTCGAGGAGTCTATTCCATGCAACTTAAGACGACAGATTCCCTGTACGGACGAAAAGGGATGAAGTATGCTTGAAACACACAGTGAGGAAAGTTTAGGAAAGTTTGTCCGTTGTTAATCAGCGTGCATTAAATTTCCCCCGAGATTCGCGAACCACTCGGGACACCTGATCTGCTCGAATAAATGGAATGTTCTGTAAAGAAGCGTTGAGAATCACCCTGGCGAGGAAACGGCAAAGGGTTTGAGATTGATCACAGCGGTCGTCTTTTTGGCATTACTGTCGGCATCACCTGTCTCTGTCCCGATTGCCCCTTTCGTAGTGCATCGCTTGTTGCTCAGCCAACAAGCCTGACCCGAGCTCGAGTAGGATAGGAGCTGGGGAGCGTGACCTCATTACTCGCGAAGATGGTATTGTATTACTAACATTCAGGTTCAATCGATGAACTTTGGTCGGTTAGCAAGGCTGTAAATATCATGCCAAAGGGCTTCTAAAAGTAAACACGTGTCTCGGCCCGTTCCATCAAACGTTGTGAGTCTTGGGATTCTACCCCGGCAGCTATAAACGTGTTGTTCGGCGTCCGACCGCTTCTATTCACTCATATTGGATAAGAAATACGGGGCCGAGTCTCCCTGTTCATTACACCACGGTGTTTCAACTGTCGTTCCTATTTCCTCTCTCTGGGGAAGTTTTGGTCTGCACCGACTCTTATCTATGTACAGCCATAATAATATCAAACTTGACGCTCGTGCCTTGCCTATCTAAGCCCTATTCAAGATCTGGCGTTTGTATGAACGGCTCCATGGATTAGGTCTTCTTCATGACCTTCAGTTAAGTTCTATTTGCCATGTCACTCCAAGAGGATCCTGATCCTTGGAAGTAGACTCGTTCATTCCATGTTGAGTCCCATGGTCGGCGCTGAGAAATGGACTGGTCACATTGAACAGCATGTGCTCTGGTCTTCTCGTGTGGATTACCAGATTGAAACAGCTCTTGAAGATATAGTGTAGTGTAATGGTCTCGTAGATGAGGACCGCAATGGGGAGTATTCGTGGAACAAGCTCCGTGTCCAACGATAGTCCTGCATTGAGCCAATCAAAACGTATACTAAAGTGGGACTAGTTTCCAGAGTACGACAGAGACGACTCGGGTCCTCGGGTAAGAGGAATCCGAACCATGTTGGTGAGGGGAAGCGGATATTTGGAAGCCGCAACCCAAGGAATCAAATGTGACCACCTTATTCCATGGTGCTGCCATGAAAATACGACCATAATGGAAAGACCGTAGGTTTGGACTGAGCACAATGTAATATCTCTAACTCTTCCGTGTAGAAAATACGTATTGGTCACGGGTGCAACGGGCTTTATTGGAGCCCATGTCGTCGACGAACTCCTCCGACGGGGTTTCCGAGTGCGAGGCGCAACTCGGACCTTGGCCAAGGGGAAAGAAATGATCAAAACACGTCAGCAATATGCCGATAAACTAGATTTCATCGAGATCCGGGACTTCGAGAACACGAACGTGTTTGATGGGAAGATAGAGGGTATTGATGGTATCATTCACGTTGCCAGTGTGAGTATACTTGTTCTGCAAGCTTGTGAGGGATACTGACAGATATCACCCCATAGCCGTTCACGTACGATGTCAAGGATAATGAGCGAGAGCTCATACTACCAGCAAAGAATGGTGTGCATGCGATAATGTCTGCGGCAGAGGCTCAACCAAACATCAAGCGGATCGTTATTACTTCATCTTTCGCTGCTGTGCTCAACGCCGACCGCAAGGCACCTCCTTACTTCGACTACACGGGCGATGACTGGAACCCATTAACCGAGGAAAAAGCTTGCATCCCTGGAACAAGCCCAGTCATTGCGTACAGAGCAGCAAAGAAGTACGCAGAATTAGTCGCCTGGGACTGGATGCGGGTTGGGGACGAAGGCAAATCTCGTCACTTCGACCTTGTGACACTGTGCCCCCCGATGACATTCGGACCAGTTGTACATCCAGTCAGCGGGGTTTCGAAATTAAACGAGTCAAATGCGATGCTTTGGAAAATTGCAAAGGGTGAAACCCCGCTTCCGGTGGCCAGAGTCCCATTCTGGATTGATGTTCGAGACCTTGCCGTGGCGCATGTTGAGGCGCTCTTACGGCCCGAGGCAGGCGGAAAGCGATACCTCTTGGGAGCACACGATCGTTTCTCTTACGGTTTGGCTGCGAAGATTATGGCTGACAGATTTGACTGGGCGAGGGGCACCGTTGCCCAGGAGGAGCAGGTAATCGACACTTCACACGGTCTGGAGAACAAAACTGCGGCAAAGGAGCTTGGTCTGAACTACCGGACGTTTGATCAGACAGTAATTGACCTTGTGACGCAAGCCAGAAAGATGGATATTGAAGAGACGAAGTCATAAACTTTGTAATCAGTCTTTGCCCAGTTATCGATGAGATAGATAACCGACTTAGTCGCCTAGATCACCGCCTCATTCTGATTCCAGCCACCACCTTTCAGGTCATATGCAGCCGTGTCCCCCGCAGTCACAACCTTGGTTCATGTTAGCCAAGTAATCCGCCTAAATATGGTTTAGCCAACCAGAACCATCGTCGGTACTCAACTTCCGCTCTGACCAATCACAATGAACGTCAATCTACCAGGCACTCTGCGAAAGAGAATCAGCGTCGCGGTGAGATAGATGATGTCGGTCCTTTCGGTTTGGCGGCAGTATCGTCCCGTTATTTGCCTCCGAGAGCTCTCTAGTCGGGACCTCTGGGCGACTAGAGGCGGCATGTCAGCGAATGAATGAGATATTGCGGCCCTCAGGAGACAGACAAATCTATCGGGGCTTACCTGGATTCCAGTGCAAAGTTGGACCATCCCTTCTGATGAACTTCGGCCCTCAATTTCTGTGCTGCTATATATAAGATCAAGCTTTTCAGCGACTCTTTCAATCGTGCTCCCCATCCTCATAGCGATATTCCTCCTGAATAAAAGTCCCTCGTCATGAAGCTATCGTTCCTCTCTGCGGTCGCTTTTGCGGCACTTGCCCATGGTCATTGCATCTTCCAGGTAAGTCATGTGAAGGTAACTGCCGATCGTGTTGTCGTTACTCATCTCCCGCTCGACAGAAAGTATCAGTAAACGGGAAGGAATATGGATCTCTCGCCGGTCTTCGCGCTCCGAACCAGAATAACCCGACGACAGACGTCAACTCTCAGGATATGATCTGCGGCAAAGTAGCCACCTCCTCTCAGGAAGTTATCTCGGTCGCTCCTGGAGACAAGATCGGTGCCTGGTGGCAGCATGTCATCGGCGGCGCCCAGTTTCCCGGAGACCCGGATAACCCGATCGCCGCATCTCACAAGGGCCCAATCACGGCCTGGCTGGCAAAAGTTCCCAGCGCTTCGTCCACTGGCATCACCGGTCTCAACTGGTTCAAAGTAGCCGAGGATAACCTTGACACCAGCTCCGGGAAATGGGCCGTTGACAAGATGATCAGCAACAATGGCTGGAGCTACTTCAACCTGCCTCAATGCATCGCCCCCGGGGAGTACCTATTGCGTGTTGAGCTGCTCGCTCTTCACTCTGCCCACACCCAGAATGGCGCTCAATTCTACATCTCCTGCGCAAACATCAAGGTCACGGGATCCGGATCCTTGTCCCCAAGCTCGACTGTCAAGTTCCCGGGGGCGTATCAGCAAAGCGACCCGTCTATCTTCATCAACATCTATGGCACTGGCGGCGTCCCCAACAACGGGGGTAAGGCGTACACGGCGCCTGGACCGAGACCAGTCACTTGCTGAGACTGCACTACATTTGATCGATAGGAAGCGCGGGCTGCGGATATCTGGTTGAGGATTGTTTTCATTTCTTGGTCCTAGGCCAGCCCAACATTCGTGCGAATTGTACTCAAAGCCTGCACCAAGAGGTAATTCCTGAATCAAGCAACCAGTCATACTTGATAACCTTCCGGCTCTGATGTTCAATTACACGACCCCGATGCTCACGCGACCATCTTCGACCATCACCCGTAGATTTATGTTAATGCTCATGTCGGCGGTCTTGTTCGTCCCATTGGTTCCCCCAACCCCTTGCCCGACATTAACGCCGGAGAAGTTCCCAGAGCCGACGTTGATGTTTGTCACCTCCGTAATTCTATCTCCGATTTCAATGGTGTTCCCATCGCCGATCGTATTGTTCCCGTCACCGATATCGAAGTCGTCGCCTGGGTGTCAAATTAGCATCGCAATCGAGTAAGAGGACTTAGAAACCTCTGAGGTTAGAAACAATTGCCTACCTGTATCTATGTCGTTGCCTATACCCGCAAAACCTACGCCGTTACCATCGCCCGTCCCACCTGAGCTAACAGAGCCGGAATTGCCGGTCTGGTTTCCGTTGACGCCTTGGCCCACTTGACGTGGGGATATCAATCGTTCTGCAGGTAACAAAGAATCAAAGTTGAACGGGAATGGAAGGGCAAGTGATGTTGCTGCCAGGAAGACAATGAGACTGATCATTCTTTCTTTGACCATCCTGAAAGACAGCAAGAATGATATCAGCCTATCATGCCCACGAAACCTGGACTCTTCTGCAGGTTGAAGGGACTGCGAGAAGACTGGCAACGTCCTCCGTAGATGATAATGAAAGGAAGGCAGAGTGTGAGTTTTTCTGCCTCATAATTGCAGCATGCATTCGTGTCTTTTATGTTTATTCTTGGCAGGAGCCGATTCTGAAAGCCGTCCAACTACCGAAACGGCCCTTGATTACCATCAATAAGAATGATGTATTGCAAGTTTGGGCGCTCTCTTTCCCGACAATTCGACAAGCCTACGCTTCACGAACAAGCTGCCAAGACCCGTCCTGGTAAATTGAGCGCGGCAGATAATCGCTTTAAAAGCTCATTTGACCGGCAAAAAAAGATGGTGGTCAGTGGAAATCTCCTATTTGGAGTGTCTGTTCATCGGGCAGGCCGCTTTGGAATATGAAACGGGGAGGGTGCCATCTGGGAAGACGGCAGTTCTCTAGACGGGCAGGACGGTGACAGTGGCATCGAGAGGCCGCCAGCGTCCAGTTTCACCGCACAAGGTCGATGATTATCTTTCAAGGAACAAACAGCCGTCTACGTTAGCTATTGGAGTATTGCTCAAAATCTCCGTCGCATTCAAATTCGACTGGGTGCATGAGTCTTGGCATTGGTCGATGGGGAGTGACCAGTTCTGGGATGAACAGTGTGGCCAACACCATATGGAAGGAGGATCGGGTCAGAAGGTCAGATAAAGATGAAGACGAAGAAGAAAGGAAGAGAGGATTGCGATTGCGAATTTCGCCAACTATCCTTTTCCTGAATGCCCAGGCGAAGCTGTGGGTTAAAGGGGGGATTCCGAATTCCTGGTTTCGAAGGGAGTGCGCGGGCGCCGAACGAAGTATCGGCGGTGGGATGACACACGAGTTTCCACTGTATGATGCTCCTGAGGAGCAACACTGCCCACCCACCTGAGCATGAATCATCAGGGATGAACTTCAGTCTTTTCAACCCGGCGGTGTAGGTATATGCTGGCCTGGTCGATTGGAAGGAAGGCCACAAACATGCTCTCACGCATGAAGTAGGCGAAGTCCTGCCGTTGGGGTAGTCTCTTGTCACAGAAGAAAACACGGTGAGCGCGACCCAGTCGAATGTGCATCAGGGTCCAAAATGATTGACCATCACACTGTTGGCCTGGTGGATCAACGAAATGGCTGCTTGGGCTTCAGGCAAGATATTCGACTCGGGACTACCGTAGTAAGAGACAAGATGTTACTCCACCTCGCAAAGCTCAATCACGGCCGCAATGCGATAATGCGATGGGTGTAAGGAATACATCGTAGCTTAATCACTACGCCACCATATTGATTCTGCAAAGATATCTACAACGTGTAATAGAGTTATTATCAGCTCAGGAACTTATGGCTTCCGATAGTTCAGCAGCACAAACAAAGCAAACGTCCAGTTTGTTTCCTCAAGATCCTTGCACGGGGGGCTTGAAGTTCGTATTTGGTCACTGGTGTCCAAGCTTCATCCAAGTATTTCGGTGGGCTGTTCGGTCGCGGCAGCCACTGGGCTCGCACAGAGACATGCATGAGCTGTCAAAAACGGCGATCGTGTCAATCTCGATAGTAGGTGAGTTGTGAATGTGGATAAAAATGATGATTCAAAAAAAGAAACCTGCTCAACAGCCCGATTCGTGGAAACTAAACATAGCGTAGGGCATGAACTGGCATGAAGCTGGCTGGAGAGGAATGCAACCATCAGGGAAGTAGCAGTTCGTAAAAAAAATCAGAGAGAGGCCCCGGAAACATGGACGCGAGGGGCTTTGTTGTTCCGCCATCCATGTCTGTTTTCCGTTGAGCTGGCATGGCATGACAGATCATAGCAACAACAATGCCAGCAGGTCCTTGGACGGACGGAAACCACGATGCAGACCTCGGTGAACACGCGCTTGGTGTCCCCCATAAACAGGCTGCGTGGTCGTAGGAGTGGATGTCATGATTGATGACATGATGAAAATCAACACCGATCGCAAAATTGCCCAATTTGCAGCTTTTGGGGAATGACATGAAGCACCCGTTGGCAAGCCCACCAACCAATTAAATCTATCAGGGCATTACTATGGACCCATCCACAGGCTAAATATAGACTTAAAGCCTGTGTCATTTATTCGACACAGGGAACCCGCCTCGGCCGGGCATTCGTCCGAGGCCCCATTGAAAGAGCTCCCGTCGGAAGCGTCCCTTCATGCGGCCCTATGGGCGGCCCGGGCGCCACAACATGGGGAGAGGCCGCCCAACTGGTGGGATTTCCGAATTGCTTCATGTTTACCGTGAACAGAAGTCCGAGGCTCTGTTTATTGCCGTCGCATATCCGACGTGTTTTGACGGTTTCTTGCTTGCGCTGAGACCTTTTGCTGGCTATCGGGCCATGACCAACAATCACTTCTACAACACCGCCATGGAGACTTTCTCCTTTTTCCAATCGTGACAAGGCTGCAAGTGGGCAGGCATTTGGAAGCAACTCCGCATCGATTTTCAGATTCGCATCTTCCATGTTGTTTTACAGGGCTACAGGGCTGGTTTCGATGGCGGTGTGCGTATTTCCGGACCCAAGATCGCTGAGTTTTGAGTCAGGGATAGGGAGCCATGGTTGTTCTGCTGCCCATGAGTAGTGATCATGGCCGAACTCGGCTTCAGTATTGGATGATGGTCGATGGTGGGCTCGCAAGTGGACATCACGGAGAGCATGAGATGACTTTTTGCCGATGCAACCGACACGAGTGTCCATTGTCCAATCCCCAGCCATTTCGCGAGGTTTGAGTCCAAAACAAGGGGGTGCGGCGAAGGGACTCGCTTAACACCAAAATACATCGTCACTGCAATGCGCTGGCCTCCTTTGCGACCATCGTGTCTAGCGCGCGGTGGATGGGACCAGAAAGTTGAGTATGTAAGCGGCTTCGATACGGACATACGAGGGAGCTCTGTCTTCCGGAATCATTCCGATTGAAGGCTGGCAGGTATAATTCACTTGATAATGCGGCGGAGGGAGTGTCATCTGATGGTTGAATGCGGGAGAGCCCTGAATTAGTGGAGAAAAACAACACTGACGTCTGTATTTATGGAATCTGGTGCCAGTTGCCCCCTACTTCTGGAGCTTAAGCTTTCTGGGGCAGTGTTGGGATGAACACAAGGTGACAAGACGGCCCTTCGGCGCGCCTTCGACGTTGCTTCCTTGCATCGCTCAAAGGGTGCGATTTGAGCCTCTGTGGGTTTTGTTCCCTGTTTTAGTTACCTCGACATAACGTTACAGAAGCTTTAGTGGCATATGACGTCGATATTCTCCTATTGCGGGGGACCGGTCCCCCCGAATACGAGTCAAGCATTGCTGAGCTCCACCGATCGTCGGGACTGATCGTCATTAACGAGTGAGGAGCAGTTGGGCTCCTCGTATTTGCAGACTTGCAGCCAATGTCTGGAGAGATCGTGGCAACAATCCGAGTATATAAGATGGTTGAATTCATCGTCCAAAGTTATTTCTAGTCCTCATCCACAACACAATCATTCAATCACTCTCCTACAACTCAATAACTCTAATCAACCAACTCAACAACTCTCTTTACCAACCACCAAAACCAACCATCAAAATGCAGTTCCTCACCATCCTCGCCTCTGCCGCCGTCGCCTCCGCTGCCGCTATCCAGCAGCGCGACGTTACCTTCAAGGTCTCTGAGTTCAGCGCCGGCTGCATCCCCCACAGCTCCCAGTGCTCCTACTCTTTCACCGTCATCCAGCCCGGCACCATGGAGACCACTGGTGTCAAGTGCTCCGGCCTCTTCCAGGCCCAGGGCACCAGCACCCTCCCCGATGTCAAGGAGGCCCCTTGCACCGAGTCTTCCCGCACCTTCGACGTCGTCCGCTCCGCCGAGGGCCTGACCCTCACCGTCTCCCAGCCGGTCACCCCCAGCTCCAACCAGACTGGCTCTCACCTCATCCCCAACGACCAGCTCGTTGTTGCCACCGAGCCCAACGCCCAGGTCCAGTCCTACAACGGCCCCGCTGCTTTCGACCTCGAGTAAGCGGTTTGACAATCAGCTGTCATCGACGCTTGACTCCGGTCACCTCAGACTTTTCATTCGACGATGGGCGACCCCTGACCTTGGCATTGCAATACCAAGCAAGCAAAACAATGCATGCAGAGGTGGAAGACTGGCGCTTGCTCAGTCCAGGGCTGTAAAACTCAATTTTGATAGACTTGTAACATAGAAAAATGCACTTGGATCCATTTGGCAAAAACCTTTTCGTCGCTTCTCGTGATCTGATCATCCCTCTCAATGCCAGTACTATTGGTGTATGTTGTCAAGCCACAACACCCGATCTCACTTCCAGGGTTGAGTCGACATGACCAGATCTAATAACTGGCCTTATGAGAACAGCCATGAGTTGGAATAGAAACACTAGCCCTTGGGGCCATTGATATTATACGGACTAGTTGTCTTGACCTTTACATCTGCTGACCCATAGCGCTGATGTCTTTGATCGCCTCGAGCTCAGGCAAAAAGCCATCGAACTTTCCCTTGATCATCTTCCATGCCGTAGCGACTAAAGGCACTCGCAGCGGAATCTTCTCGCCGCGACTTGCGATACCATAAATGGCATCCGCAATGGCAGAGGGTTCAGCGCCCATGCCCATCTTGAGACCCGCATTGACGTATCTTTCAAGGGCTCGGGCAGGCATGTCACTGGCCGCATAGGCTGGATGAGGAGCGGTATGCGCCTTGCTGTGTCCTTCAAAGTTGGTCTTGACTCCAGCAGGCTCCACGATGCAGAAGTTGACTGTGTTCCGAAATTAGCCTTGTGATCGAGCAACGAACATGAATGACAGGATTATTAGGCTCACTATTCCAATCCGGATGCATCTCCCTGGCCACAGACTCAGACCAGCCCTCAACAGCCCATTTACTCGCATGATAGTAGGCGTGACCGGGCAGCCCAACCTGACCTGCCAAAGAGGATATGTTGAAAATGACACCGCCTCGGTGCTCCGGATGCTGGCGCATGACTCCGATAGCCCGGGTCGACACCCGTGCGGTGCCGAAAAACAGGGTCTCCATTTCCAAGTGGGTCTCCTCTTCGGTTGCCGACTCCGTGTCGCCGGAAAGCGAGTACCCGGCGTTGTTCACCACGGCATCAAGGTGAAAGTCGTTTCCGAAGTGCTCAGCTGCCGAATCGAAGGCAGTATTAACGGATGTTGGCGAGGTGACGTCCAAAACAAGCTTGAGGATGTTGGGGTTGTCGTCGGAGAGATAAGACAGATCTGCAGGCCTGCGGGCCGTGGCGATCAACCGGTGGGAAGGTTTGCTGGCAATTAAAGTCGCCAAGGCTTTCCCGATACCAGAAGAGCAACCAGTGACTGCACAAGAATAAGTCCATTTTTCGACGGAGATTGGTGAAATGAGGCAGGCGCTAGTGGGGGAAAAAACATACTCAACCAGGTTGCATCGGTGGGCAAGTTGTATGGCTTGGTGTTGACGGGATTCATGACGAAAAATGGGGAGAGCCTGCAAGGTAAGAGAGTGTCTAATTTGTGTTATACACGAATCATTTACAACATCTTGATTGTGCGGCGAGCCAGGACTCTTTATATCTTCATTATCGTATCTTGTTTTACCCTGAATTCAGGCGCCGTAGCACAGAGGGCTTACTTCGGGAGATCGGCAGTCGGCGACTAGTGAGTCTGGCACTGACCTACATCCTTCGTTCAATGAAAACAGCCGGTTGAGTCAACACAACCGGCAGCAATGCGGCGAGCCCAAAATGGCTGGCCGATGGTGGCATCCTCACGCTTATGTCTGTCAGCATGCCGCAAAAGAACCCCACAGTCCATGGTTCTGCTTATCTGGATTTGTCCTCTCGCACTCATCTACCAATTCAAGCCACACACCGAACGTGCTTTTGCATAGATCAAGCCACCAGAAAGCTGGGTATCTTTTCAGACACCAATGGCTGGTTGTAGGAATGTTTTTGAACACGGCCAATGAAGGTTCCGTCAAACCGCCCGACAGTCTGTTGATAACATTGATCAGTCGGCTCATCCAAATGTGGTGGTGATTCCGCCATGGAAAGCTCATCAACTGTGCCTGATCTATATTGCGCCCGCCTCATGATGTTGATTGGTTTCCTGTCTGTGGCGTTGATCACTGGATTCGGCGAACCTACTTGATACACCCAGACTCACAATTGATAGATACGCAGTATTTAAGAATAAGCTGGTAGGGCTAGTGGCCGAAGGCCGAGGATGGCACGGCCTTCACTATCCCAATTGTTAGAGGAAGATGATGTCGACGTCTCTTTCAAAATATTCACTTCTGTCCTTACAATCCACGATGCCGCCAGTAGTCATGGCCAAGACGATGCCTTGCAGCCTTGGCAAAGGACTGGACTGACAACGTACTGAAATCACACATGACCTGATCTTTAGTGATTTGTTTATAAAGTGAGCAATCGGGAAGCTTTCCTCAGATGGTTCAGGGAAAGACGGAGCCTGAATCTATCTTTTAGTTTCTTCCACCACTACCATCTTTGCTGACAGGCATCTTCTCCACACATTCCAAGCCGACCAGATTGTGCGACTAGATATTCCAGGGACAACCAGACTTAAATGACGACTTCACTTGCTTGGTCTTGAGCCTTGAAATATGTGCTGATTTTGCATCTTAATATTGCCAAATGCCATCACCACGGCGTGATGGAACTTGCAGATGATAGGGTCGGGTCGTACAAAGACGCGCGCTCAGTGTTGTGGGGAAGAGCAGGGCGCACCACCACCGCGCCCGATGTGTCCACAAAATTCGCTCAATTGCCCATCTCCAACTCCCGCCTTCACCGCCTACGCCGACGACCGAAGCAAGACATGGCGCCACGAGACGCATCGCCCCCAAGACTACTACCTTATGCGGATCCCGAGGAAATATACCCCGAGGATGTACGCTTGGAGGAGGAGACTTTCCCTTGGTACGATCCGGACAATTGGTATCCTGTAACCATCGGTCAGGTATTTGAGTCGCGTTACCAAGTCTTGTTGAAGCTGGGGTTTGGTTCAGCGTCGACGTCATGGCTATGCCGCGATTTGAGGTATGCGTGCTTTAGGATTCTGTATTGGCTGACTCATGCTGAGTGAGTTTGCAGAGAACACGTCTATGTCACTCTCAAAGTCTTTGCGGTCGGCAATAGTCAAGCTGCGACCGAAGAGAAGGTGCTCCGCCATTTAGAATGTGTCAAATCTGACCATCCCGGAGTAAAATTGGTAAGGCTTCTCAAGAACACTTTCAAGATCGCAGGGCAAAATGGTAGTCATCTGTGTCTTGTTCTCGAAACTCTCGGTATATCCCTTGCAGACATTCGTGAGATGGCTGGCGGCAGGGTGCCTCCAACTCTGTTGAAAGGCTTGGTCCAAGGCGTGTTACTCGGTCTGGACTACCTGCACACTGTGGCAAACATCATTCACACAGGTATGTCTCCGACTTCATGTCTTGAGAAGTGCTGGGGCACCGACTAACAAATATGCTAGATATTCAAGACGGGAATATCATGTTATCAATCAAAGACACGGATATTCTTGATGCTCTCGTAGAAGATGAATGGGATCTGCCTAGCGCTCGAAAGATTATCAAAGATCGAGTCATTTATGCGTCGACGGGGCTGGAAATTCCAGACGAGCCCGGAGACCCCGTTATTGCTGATTTCGGCGATGCTCGAATAGATGAAGGCCCCTTTGAATTCGAACAGGAAGTTATGCCTGATGTCTATCGAGCCCCCGAAATAGTGCTGGGTGTGCCATGGAACGAAAAGATCGATATCTGGGCGCTAGGATTGTTGGTAAGTAGAAGAAACCGCGGCAGGATCCAGAGCATACAAGGTAACCCAAATACAGATATGGGACTTGCTTGAGGGTAAATTACTTTTCAAGACTAGACTACGCGATCCAACGGCATCAAGGGCAGCCCACTTTGCCAGGATGATCTCTCTGCTCGGCCCCCCGCCGGAAGACCTCTTAGAGCGCGGTTCGGCTTGGAAAACTCTATTCGATGAAGACGGTATGTTTGAGACACAGAGTAATACCGACAACTCTGTCTGACATAGTCCGCAGGGCGACTCATACTCGACGTCGAAGTTTCAGAAACCTCCCTTGAAGAGGAAGAGGGGATGTTGGAAGGTGACGAAAAGGCGGGATTTCTGGCATTCCTGCGGAAGATGTTGCAGTGGAGATCGGAGGACAGGCTCACAGCGCGGGATCTAATGGAAGACCCTTGGCTACGTGGAACTGCAGCGTGATGGCTACAGTGGGACACCAGCCTCAATTTGAGAATGACAAGCCATTGTGGGATGTTTTGAAATAACTTGAAGCTTGAGGGCACGTATGGTAATAAATACATGTGCAACCGAGAGGGGCTGTGCATTGACAAATCTGTCCTGTTTGACGAATTGAAGGCGGAAGAAAATGGTCCCACGGGAAAATATGAGCACACACATGGACTTCACAGCAACCGAGTGTTGAAAAGTCCTACTGAAAATCAAAACAACAATGACTCGTCTTCCAAACAAACAAAGACCCGACCAACAAGGTAGGAAATCTTTGCCCAAGAGACCTCCTGCGGAATACACATCTCACACATAGTAAAAGCATTCAATCTCTCTTAAAATAAGAACGGCAGATTTCTAGAGCCGGGAATGTTAGCAACTCATCAAGAGGATATGGATAATTCAATGTAACTTACGTTCGGGACGGTGCTATTCACTTCGCACCATGGTTTCATTGGATTGTTCTCGTCCTTCTCGAGATTCTCAATGCTCCAGAATTCCGGCTTGCCATTACTATTCGCCCACAACGTGATATTATGGTGTTCTTCTATTTTGAAATCGATTCTCAGCTCGTTGCCTTGCTTATCCGTCAACATTTGCGCACTTGGTAGAGATCTGAATTTGCCACCGTCGCTGTGCTGCTCACTCTCCAAAACGGTCTTGTCGCCATCCTTGGTCTCGGAGATTGTGATGTTCGCCATGTGTACGTCGTCCTTCTTGTGTACATTGCCCCGGATTTCTTGGCTGATATGGACAGTTCGTTTCAGTGGCGGGGGTTTGCTTGGAGATGGAGGACTTGATAATGGTGTGGTGGAGCTTGGTCCTGGAGGTTTAGTGGCAGATGATTTGCTCGTGGGGACTGCCGTGTTGCCGGAGGAAGTAGACCCTGGCCCCTTCGACGACTGGGAACTGGTAAAAGTAATACTTGAGGAGGTCTTCCCCGAGGCATTAGATCTGCCCTTGGATGCGGATGCTGAGGTAGATCCTCCATCACCTGATGCAGATGGTCCACTACCTGCAGCCTGAGGAACTGGGCAGGAGCCAACTCCGTCGTCGCGAGCCGCAACCGTCCGATCTTCTCGATAACACCAAGACGACTCAAAAATTATCTTGTCGTAATATTCCCAGAACACTTTGATGGTAGGCCCTCGGTTAACCCCATCAACCTTGTGCGCCGGATGATATTGAAAGAAGGCAAGACCCGCAGAAGACTCCGGTTGCCAATAATCCATGGCTCTTTGTCCTTCCTGCAAGGGCCTAGGCATACCTGGCCAGTATAAAGGACCTTTAACGTAAGCCTGGACCATAATCTTATCACGAGGAAATCCGAGGCCAACGATGAAGTTTTTCCATCGTTCGACTGCAGCCGGGTGCCTCACCAAGGCATCTCTGACAGGATCCTCACGCATTGGAGATATGAAACCAGCCTGGGGAGTGAAGATGATGATTTGTAGTGTGTCTTCTTGCATGTTGTCGAAAATATGCGTCTGCTCCTTCAGCTGGTCAACACCCCTATGGTGTGCGTCTCCCTCTTTCAAAAACATCTCCACGCCTTTGTGGAATTCTTCATTGAGGTCGACTCCTGGGTAATTGTAGGGGTTTGCGAAGTTTGGGACCTCCCAGTTGTGACTCAGGTATATCCCTCGTTTGGTGATAATCATCAGGATACTGCAGCCCCATAGTGGACCGCTCCCACCGACGATTCCTCTGTCAGCCCATTCACTGACTCGCATCGTGGACACTCCGTACGGCGCCACTTGCGAGGTTTTACCGTCAGTGTCGGTATATCTGTGGTATTGCTCCTCCGCCCCGTCGCAGTAGTTCTTAATCTGGCGGAACATCCGCAAGCGCCAGGCGGCTTCACCGGCGGGCCAGGTTGTCACATACGGTCTGTCGTTTATGGGGATATCGTTGCCCATTGCATCTTTTTTGACATCTTCAACCCAGATTCCATCAGGGTGGTTAAGTAGTTCATCGTCATCGGGAGGGTTCCAATCGACATAGTTGATTACTCTCTTTGATAGACCGGACTGCGTCTCATTAGACGAAAGCCCACAATCCCCGCAGTTGGACTCTGGGCTGCAGAAGAATTCAGAGGGTGTGGCACTAGCTGTAGAGATTGTTGTAGTGGTTGTGGTTTCGACCGTTTTACTGCAGACGACCGTTGGGTGACAAGTGGCCGTGAAACATGACGTGCTGAAGCTCGTAGACTTGTCGATAGTAGTGACTGGTCTAGCGACACAGCTTTGGCCGCATTTGGGGTATAATGTGGTAGAGGCTGTGCAAGACGACTCCGAAGAGGTGGTTGTGGGGGTCTCCGAAGGCTTCGGGTCATCCGGATCACTTGGATCACCCTTCCGTGGCTCCTTGGGAGGTATAGGCGGTGGCTGGAAAACACGGTCAGAAGTAGCAGATCTGGTCATGAAGAGAAGGCTTACCGTGGCCCACGAGAATCCCATGGGGCCTGGAAGCTTGAGCTGAGGCATGTTGCAACCGAGAAACGGAATGAGACATTGAGGATGGCAAATCGGTCCTATGCAGCCCCAGACGGGTATGATCCAAGGAAAGATGACGCCACCGTCGGAAGAGGAGGTGGTAACTTCTGAGGAAGTCCACGTAACTTTGGTTGTTGAGTCCACGCCTGGCTGCTGCGTTGTCGTAGCGGTCACGAAGAACACGGTGTAGGACTTGTCTGAGCTGGTGGAAGTCGTGGAGCTGACAAAGCTTGTCGCGCTGCTAACTGGCTGAGCTGTTGTTGATCGGGCGGGCGAAGATGTGCTAGAGACCTGATTGCTCCCAGACGAAGGAGAAGTGGAAGACTGATTGTCCTTGTTTGCGGTTGTTGAGGACTCATCGTCATTCTTTCTATCAGTTGACGAGCTGCTGTCTCTTTGCTTGCTGGTAGATTCGTTTCTCCCATCCTCCTCAACTGTAGAGGAGCCGTCGTTGTTCCTTTCAGTCGAAGAAGAGGCATCTTCTCTTCTAGTGGTAGACGATTCATCAACATCCTTTCCAGCGGTGGAAGAACCTGGTCTATCCCTCTTGGTGGTGTGGCTGCTGCTGGCATTCTTGGTTGATGTGGTGTGAGTTTCGTCTCCAATTGTGGACTTGGGGCTAGTTTTGATGGTGGACGAGAGACCTCCTCGGGGAGTGTCGTCGCCCAAAGAGGTGGTCGAAGACTCTGATACACTGACTTTTGTCGAGGCCGTGCTTCTTACGGAAGAACCGGCTCCACTGCCGCCTACTGTACCAGAAAACTGGACAGTATCATGTGTTCTGCTCGTATCGACAGGTCTGGTGGTAGAAGAACCTGTGGTAATGACAGGGGTAAGGCTTGTGACTGATGAGGGTAGCAGGACAACACTGGGACTTTCACTATGCCTCGTTGCAACCGAATGAGATGTGTTGGTGCGTTCTGGCTCGCCCACGGACGGAGACCTGTGAGTTTGAGAGGGATTGGAAGTAGAATTCAGTCCCTGGGAACGCTGGGTTGGGAAAGCAAGGCCAGTTCCCGTTGAAGAGTAGTTCTGGTCGGTCCCAACAATCGTGCTCGAGAGGACGCTGGTTTCCCCAGAATGACTGCTTTGCGGCAACGTATCATTTGAACTGGGGATGGGGGCCGTAGACTTAGACGAATGTCCTGAAAAGTTGGGCGTGGTAGATGTATTGGCGAATGGGCCTCGGAAACTAGATTGCAGACTAGTCTCACTAGTCAAGGTAGCACTGGTACTGGTGTTCGCTCCAGGGACAGCTTGACTTGACAAGTTCAATGTGAGTACCGAGGAAGCAGGGACATCTTGAGAGGCGATTGAAGGCGTGACATCGCCAAGGCTTTTGGAGAATGTGACGAGAACGTATGTTGTCAAGAAGCTCGTAACAACCTGTCCATCCTGCAGTTCTGAGGTTGAAACAGATACCGCAGTCTCATTGCTGGTGATAGTGGAAGCAGGGTTATTGGTAACGTCACGTTTGTTCCCGTTGGCTAATGGTAGATGGGTTAGATATTGTCACATCGCTTGTGATCGTTATAGGAGAGTCTTTTACCTTCAATGCTGGCATGGCAGATGTCCAGAAGAGCAGCAAAGGTAACCAAAAAGATGAAGAAACTTTGAGTTGTCTTTGGTGACAGCCTTCGCAATTCGATTCTATAAGGGTAGCTTCGATAGAACGGTAAGTTCATGTTGAAGACCAAGGTCAGAGGTCTGTGATTACAAAACGCGATGAAAAAGGGCTGAAAGTGAGTCTGTGAGCTCGGTGACGACGTTCGCTTGATCACGGCAAATGGGTGAAGCACAAGTAGCTATCCAGTTGATTCAGGGTCACAGCCCTCATATTTCAACGGTATCTCCTCTTTCATCGGGCAAGATATTATCAAGCCGAGACAAGCGCAGTTTAGTCTTCTTTGTTTATCATGCGTGTCGGAAAGTTGCTGCCACGACATGATTTTGGCGGCACATCTCGAGCCTGCAGGAATGACCGGCAAGGGGTCATTTGCATTTGCGCTGTTGTGAGTCTCCAAAGCCATGCAGTTCGAGGTTTCGATCTGCAACTAGTCCTAGTAATTTCAGGTCCTGATACCCCAAGTCTGCCTGTTCGTGTCTAATGCTGTGGGACAGTTGGCACAGGTAGTCTCGCCGCTCGCGTGTTCAGCCGAGTTGAGTTGCTAGTAAGGCACCAAGAGCCTCGACTATCTGATCATGAGCATACTGTTTTGAGAGCTGATTCATTCTATCTTTGGAGAATCTGCATGCCGTGTTGCCTCCTTGCCGATGCGGCAATCGTTCAGGGGCACCGTTGTCAAAGACGCGAAAACGCATGGCTCGTTTAGTGGCTGTCCGCGATTCACAAGCTGCAATGCCGTACGACGCAACCTGAGGGTCCACCAACCTCGTAAGTAGAGTATCCAGGTGGAAGATAAACTCTAAGACTATACAGGCAGGTCGTGGTGCTGTGATCGTTTGAACCAAAAATCACAGTATGTGTGAGAACACGGCTGTCGACCTTGTCGATGACTGCCCATAAGAGCTGAAAAGCTTTTTTGGCGCATTTATGTTTTATGAAAATCGAAAAATAGAAATAGAAAACTGCTCCGTGTAGTTTTTGTCATACATATAAACATGTCCTTGAGTCATTTGCTGTCTATACTGCTTGATGTAATCATTTAGTCTATTTGCAGGTGCTACCGCTTTTCTGAGTATTTTAACTGTGGTTGTCATGGCTGATTTCATCATCACCCTGGCTGCTATCCCAAACTCTTGCCCTCCTCGTGATTGTTGTTCTGTAGCTTGCCCCCCCCCCTTCTCCTCCAAAGGGGAAAACACTGACCACGCAATTCTCTCAACGAATCTGACTCTGACTGCAGATGGCCTCAATGGAGACCCGAGGTGGTTCTTTGGATGATCGAAGAGGCTTGCACGTACGGGGGAGCAATATGTTTCGACCGTCAAGGTCTGCAATTGGTGCTCATACGACAGAGAACCTGAAATATCTGGTATCCACCCCTGCCAGGTCGCAGGAGAAAATTGCGCATAATCCATAAAGGTAGTCCATTGAGGCGAAGAAAATCTAGCTTACAAACAAAACTCATCTGACCTGCTGATAACTGCTTTCTTTCAACCTGCTTCAGTCTCTGCACTGCCTTTTCACAGGACCCCCTTACTTGACGCTCTTTCAGGCATCCCGCGAACCAACAGTACTTCCCAAGCACAACACCATGTCCATGAAACAATTACTACAATCCTTCCAGGCAGGGGCGAGGCGCCTGGGTGCCAGGCTCGTCTGGTCCGCCAACATGTCTCAGATGCCGCGCCCTATCGACGAAGAAGACCTGGCAGGCTATCGTCCAGGGGGTTACCACCCAGTCCGAATCGGCGACCATTTTAACCATGGCAAGTACAAAGTGCTGAACAAGCTGGGATACGGGGGTTATTCAACTGTTTGGCTTGCCCGAAATAACGAGTAAGTAACATGCTACTTGAGCATTGTACCTTGCCCAAACTCACAGGTCGTTAGGACCAAGCGCCACGTTGCACTGAAAGTCCTCGCCGCACACACGTCCAAAGTCGGACTAGACATCAACGAGCTGGATATCCTCCTGAATGTGACCTCGAAATCTGCGACAAACCCAGGGACAGCCCATGTCCTGGGTCTTCTCGACCACTTTGAGCACCGCGGACCTCATGGAGACCACCTCTGTCTTGTGTCCAAGCCCATGGGCCCGAATATGTCGGTGTTCAGAACTTTATTCCCGAAAGCGAAGATTCCGGTGCCCACTATGAAGAGGATTTCAAAGCAGCTTCTTCTTGCACTTTCCTATCTTCATGATGAGTGTCAGGTCATTCACACAGGTTGGTAATTAACCCCAGCGCTATTCGGTTCATTGCTTACTTGCCCCCGTTGAAGATATCAAGCCAGCAAACATCATGATTGAAAGCCCTGGGATCAACGAGCTGTTTGAGCAGGCGCCCTCAGAAATATTCATGTCATCTGATGTGTCTCTTCCTCCACCAAATGACTTCTACATAGGTTCGCACGAATTTTGTGCAGGAGATGAGGATATCACAGAGTCGAGCGAGCTTTCGGTACGACTGGTAGACTTCGGTACCTGTAGGTTTCACTGTAGCATGCGCAATAGAAACCGCTGATAAAGAGTAGCTAGCTGGTTTGACGATCACTTGACAGAGTGGATCCAACCCGAGATGCTTCGGGCTCCGGAAGTAACACTCTGGGCTGATTGGGATCACAAGGTGGACATATGGAACTTGGGGCTTGTGGTAAGTTGTTATCCTTAGACATCTTGAGCGAACAACTATGCTCACGTTGCTAGATATGGGAGCTCACCCAAGGAGCCTTTCTGTTCGACGGGTGCTGGACGCCTCAGGATCCGTACACAGCCGAGGCCCAGCTGGCGCAGATGACATCCCTTCTAGGCGCCTTCCCCAATTCCTTGCTGTCTCGGTCGAGGGAATGCGATCAGTATTTTGACAGTAACGGTCAGTTTCCCATTAGAAAAAGCAATCATCTACGGAGCTAACTGGGAGCTAGGTAACCTTTTGAAGCCCATGACATTCGGCTCTTTGTCCCTGAACGACATGTGCAAGAACAGGCTGAACTGCGCCATGTCAGAGTCTGACCGTGCAGACTTCTTGGATTTCATCATGGCGATGATAAGACTTGATCCAGCCGAAAGACCGGATGCGAAGACGTTACTGGGACACAAGTGGATTCAAGCGTCGTGAGGATAACGTGGACGCGAGTATCAGAACCGTCGCCTCCCGGCAGCAAATTCAACACGCCAAGTTCTTTCGGCCGAGGTTGCCGTGACCATGTACACGTCTGCCGCTAGGCACTCGCCGGATTCTTCCCCGGCCTCGGCTACCCAGCTCGGACCGTCAGCTGGTATGCTCCAGGACCCAGGATCCCGTGCCGATCCCCCGACTTCGTCACATTCCTCCCTCGCAGACAGCAAAGATCCGCACAAACCACCTGCACATCGGTTCACCAACCAACCAACCCCCCTCAAGGCTTTGATAAGAGCAAACTCATACATTAGTATTATTCAAAAATGCTGCTGCTATGTAACGTCTATCCGCCTTTTTTGTGTTCATGTACTCCATTAAACCAGCCCCGTCCGTAGGCTCCGGAACCATGCAATGCTATGCCCAAAGGAATGACGAGCAAGCGAGATGGCGATCATCAGAAATCGTTCAAGCATATCGCCGGAAAGCGCAACCTCCTGCGCTCGGCCCTTTTCGTCCCCCCCAACGGGAACAACATCCATCTTAAGCGACGGCAGTGATCTCAGTGATGGGCGTGGGCAGCGTGATCTTGTCGCACTTGATCTCGCGCCTCGAGTAGACCTCGCCAATGGTCCAGTTCAGGTTCTGCCAGCTCGTCTCCTCGCACGAGAGATCAGCGACGGCACCGCCCTTTGCAGTATACCGAGCCCTGCCCACCCATTCCAGTCAGCCTCCATCATTCTTTTCCACGGGGCACATGTGAAGAAACTTACGGGTACTTGGGGTCGTCGTTGCACGTCCAGCTCTGGTTCAGCGCTAGCGCGCCGTCGGGGCGGCTGAAGGTGAAGGACGTCGTGGCGCTCTCGCCGTCGGGGGCCTTGCAGTCGTAGACCATCTCGCCGTAGAAGAAGTCATTGAGGCGGCTGCTGGCGGCGGAGCAGGAGACGGTGTAGTCGAGCACCGGGTTGGAGACGTTGAAGCTGACGTAGCCCCACGAGTTCTGGTGCGCGGGCGTCGTGAAGATGTAGCTGGCGTGGAAGTCGAAGTCGGTGAGTGTCCACTCGGAGAGCTTGCCGGACTTTTGGCCGCAGGTTGGCTCATCGCGGGGGGCGATGGGCGAGGCGAGCGCCGGGGCGAGGAAGAGGAGCGTGGAGAGGAGCTGCATTGTGGCGGCGGTGTTGAGGTTGAGATTGAGGATTAGATTATGTGAGATTGGTCAAGATGAGATTGGATTAAAGAGTTGCGATGAACTGCTGCCCTGTGGTGATAATGCAAGATGCTGCTGGATGAGATGCAGTGTTCGGACGGGGAGCACGTCCAGCTTAAATAAACCTCGATAACCAACCCATCAAGGGTCGCGTGTGCGAGCGGAAGAGATCGTCGAATGTTTGTTGGTTGGCTCCATGCCTGTCAACCTCAACCCAGCCATCCATCCGCATGAAAGTCGGTAAAGCCGGAGGACACAAAATGTTTGAGAGAATGACGTCGCACGGGTTGCCTTGCTCTCGTATTCCCCCTCAAAGGAAAATCCTACCGCACATCACTCTGTTTTTTTCTCCTTTGCATTTTTAGCCGCATCCCACCCGGCGCCCATCCCCCTCACAAACGCAGACCGCGGATCGCAGCCGTTGCTAGTCAAGCGGTAGAAACAAAAAGAGGGGGGATGCCATATACTGCATAGTACACGAACCACATAAACACTAAAAAAACAGCCTCACTGGAAATGTCCGATTCCGGGGAGCGCGAAAAGTATGCGATGCAGGCCCGTAGCGGAGCCCGGTATGCCATTATTAGCAGGCGTTGTTTCTGCCGTCATGCGACCCTCTGCGAGCTAAAAAGATTAAGTCTAAACGGTGACTGGCTGCGGATGGGAAGGGCTGCCGATCTCTGGGCTCGTGTTGGCAGCGGAACCTGGCTCTGCGATGCGCATTAACGGTTGCACACACAGCCTGTCGAATGCAGCCACGATCTCCCCTGGCGGCGCCGAAGACTTTTGAGCCCGTTTGGTTGGCGCACGGTTAGGTACGGGTGGCTGGATTTATTGGTGGTTGGGTTGGGACGGCATCTTTCAGGGTCCTGGCTTGTTCGAATTGCCGGATGGAATAGGGATGGAATGTTTCTGTGTTTCTCAGTTACATCGTTCGATTTCTTTACGAGGTGGGATAGATTGAAAATGCGCCTGTGTTGATTCACGCGCTCGTCAAAACGCACTATCAACACGGCATTTGTTCCCTAGATTGCTGCAAGGAGGGACTGAACTCGTCTAGACGTGCATGTCCGAGTTCCTCACTGTTGAAGCTGGAGCCCCACGGCCGAAGGTTGATGCCATCGCTCCACTGAGGGGAACCGCTGCGGCCGGCGCTTGTCATGCTCGTCATGCCACCCCGGCGGGCCGATCGAGCGAAGCGGAGCCCTGAGTGAGATCTTTTTGTCCCGCGAACAAAGGGCGAGTCCAGCCACTCCCGCGGGAATACGATGTCCGGGTTACTGATTTGTTTTCGCCTCTTCGGTAGCGTAGGGAACGTTACAACAGTTGGCGGCTGTGCCTGATTCCACGTTCTCACCGACTTGGAGATCTTTCACCGACTCCAAATGGCTCCGGCGTGCGCTCGGCCGAGTGAACATGGCTGATGTCATGTTGTGCAGCGTGAGAGAACGGTCTATCGATTTCGTGAACGGGGCGACAGGATCTGACCGCCGGGAACGTAGGGCTTGTGATCGATGGATGTTTTTGGGCAGCTGAATGTGAGCGGTCTGCAACTAAGCCCGAGTTATGGATATTGGCGGATGTATCGATTCCAGAGACCGGTCGCATCGTAGGCAAACGGGCCGAGCGGTGGAATGCGGGCACGATGGCGGGGTAGTTGGCGCAAGGAGCTCACGAGAGCTTCATTAAACCAAGAAATGCCTCTGACTTTTTGAGCATTTCATATTCAGGAGCCCTAGAGACCTGTGGTGGGCACTCTCAAGCTGGTATTGACGCCGAGCACTGGCCTCTAATCGCTGGGTGGAAGATGATGCCCGGGAGCATTCGTCGGAACCTTCCAGACATATCAGCGTCAGTAGGGCGCGAACTTGTTGGCGACAAAAGATGATCAACCGGTTTTCCTCATTGTATCGTGAAGATGAGTTGCCCACGCATTTGACGAAGACTGCGGGCAGGGAGACGAGGAGGGGGCAGACGAGTCTCTTCATTGTCGTGACACCAGCCACAGGCTTCAAGTGAGGCGCATGTGGCTGAACCCCCAATCCCGAACGGACCCGATCCCTCCACTACAGAATCCGGCGGAAGCGGCGGGAAGACACGAGCCTATGAAGAAGCGTCCATCGCCCACGCCCGGCGCCCGAGTCACGGAGNCCGCCCCTGGGGCCCCCCCCCCCCCCCCCCCCCGACAGGCCCAGAAACCTCCGGATCCTGTCGCGATGGATGAGATAAGATAGAGGTCATCATGAGGGGTAGCGGGAGCCCAGGTGTGCCAGATTGAAGATCAGGGCCCCTCCCTTTGGTCCTCGAGAGATTCAGCATCGCAGATAAGCTGGGCCTGTAAAGCTCTTGGGGTTGACTTCAGTGTAGTCACTTACTGAACCTCTCCCCAACTGTAGAGTAGCATTCTCAGGATTCCACCAGATCGTGGAAAACCATTTCCTCAGTCACGAGTGATCAAAGAAGAGTCCAGATTCTCTCTTCGTCCCCCAAGCGCGGGGGAGGGGTAACACAAAACACCGCGAACCTTCGAACCCCTCCGCTCTTGGAACCGCGCAGATGCTCAGCAACGAATGAGAGAGAATCACAACCCACGTTCTCATTTCCCGCAGCGTGCGATCCCAACCTCAACCCCCGATCCGGCGCGCAAAGAGCCCCACGTGGGTGCCATGGTTTGCCCGTAGAAAAAAGGGTCTCGGTGGTGGTGGTGGGGCGCCGTCGCAGTTTCCTTCCGAGTTTGGGGTGTTCGACATGGACATGGTGGAGGGGGTGGAATATTCTGGACAAGAGCGCTGTTAAGGTAAATAGCGACACCGAGGCGCCTGCTACTATCATGGTTATTGAAGACTTGTTGTATCTCGAATGTCGTTCCTCTGATCAAGTTTCACAAAGATTCAGATTCTGAGCACCGGAAAAGAAGCGCAGTAGCCGCGTGGGAGGGGAAGAACGGGTATCGTTGCATTCAGTCGTTGGTGACCAGATGCCATGCCTCCAAGGAATAAATATCTCGAATTCCAACACGAAGTTGCCCATGCCGCTGCCCCTCCTGATGCTGACGGCGGCAGCACCCATCATACCCCTCATCTGAACCCCTGTACTCCCAAAGGCACCGCCGTAGGTCGTGATCAAGCCCTTGCTGAGACCTCATCTGCCATCATGAACAAAGTCGCCATCCTCACGTCGTCGACGCACGAGCCTGGCGTGAACATTCGGCAACGGTCCCTCATTGCCCTCTTCGGACCAACTTTCGACCTTGCCATCCGCTTTCAGAGACTGGCCACAATCGCCTCGTCGCTGTTGTTCGTCTACGGTCACCTGCTCGCTACATCAACGCTGTCGTCGACTGTAGTTGCGACAAGACTCTTCGCCACCCATGCGGCGTATTTCTCCCGAAAGTCCCTGTCGGCTCTTCGACTCTCCATGCGAACGGCGTGGAACTCCAAGAAGATACGTCATATGAGAAAAAAGCTCTTCATGGAGTTCGCGACAACGATACTCGGTCCCGGGGGCAACATGCTGATCATCATGGTCTTCTGGCCAGGGTGGTTTCTGATCCTCGGAGCCATCCTTGCCGTTCGCCTCTTCGCAGGCTGAAGGATTATCGGATGCCTCTCGGCACGATCACTCCTTACAAATATTTTACCCAGCTTATATATCCAAATCGACTGAACAACGGACGTTCACCTCGAGAAGAAGAAAGTATTGCCGCCGGCATCTTTCCGGACTTCCTTCTGGTAATCTTTCTCGGGGTCGAACTCCTGCCACATGCTCGCTGGGTAAATGTGCTTATTGCGCTCATACCAGCGCCGGTCCACCACCTTTGTCAAGGTCGGATCGTCGGTCGCACCCTCGAGGGTGTTGATATCGGGCAGAGCCTTGACAGCGGCTGCCTTAGCCTTCAACGCGGCCGCGGTGGTCAGGCCGCCATCGGGGACCACGGGCGTCTCCTCGGCTTCGGGCTCGTCCGTCTTGGGCGGGGCGTCGGCGGTGTAGGTGAAGAGCTGCTGGCCGTCGGGCCCATTGCTCTTGTTGATGATGAAGAAGTAGAATTCATAGTGCTGCAGAGAATAGTTAGCCAAGAATCAGAAATAGAGACAAGATTATACCCACATGCGGAATGATGATTGACCCCCTCACGAGCATCAAGTCGTCGACGCCGACGCGTGCCCACTCTCGCCTAGCATTGGCCTTTTCTCCTACACCAAGCTCTGCACCAACCTTGCGACTCTTGTCGAGGAACACCCAGACGTAGTCGCCCTTCTTAACGCGCACTGTGCCTCCTGGGATGTTGGAACCGTCGTAGAAGACGAAGGGCACGGCGATCTCGGTGGCCTTGACAGCTTCTTGGATAGCCAAGAACTCGCGTCGCAAAGCTTCTCTCTCAGCCGCTTCCCGTCGGAGAGCCGCCTTCGACATGACCTTGGGCACGAACGCGACGGAAGAGTTGGCGACGACCTTGGACTTCTTCCCTGAGCTGTCGTCGCCGTCCTTGTCTGCGTCCTTCTTCCCCTTCTTCACGGGAAGCGCATCCTCCTCTTCCTCTTCATCGTCGCCGAAAGACAGTTTGCTGCCCCCAATCTTCTTCTTTCTCTTCTTCGGCTTGCTCGCGCCGCTGCCAGAGTCGCTGCCGGGGTCGGGCGTCGCAGAGTGGGATCGGTTCGGGGTGGACGTTCCAGAGAGGGCTGCTTCGCGTTCGCGCTCCTGCTGGTCGAGGACTTCGGCGTGTCGCTTGCGGTAGTCGGACAGCTGGACCAGACCGACGGTATTGCTCGATAGACGCTCTGTCGTGGTCTTCTTCGGCGCTGTGAAGCGCGAGGGGGCCTGGTCGGACATTGTGAAGGTGTGCGTGAACGCGACAACTAGAGATAGTCGAAGCGAAAGCTGAGCTACGACATCCAGCAGCAGCAGCAAAGACAAACAGCGTGCGGCGTCATGTTTTGGGCCTCATTGAGCACTGTGTGATGGACCCCACTATTCTTCCCGCAGTGGGTCCAGGCGCCGTTCGCTGGCAGGTGCCGCCCCACCATCCCGCCTTCCAGCTGTCCGTCACCTCACATTTCGCTGAAGCGAGGCGAGGCGAGGCGGGCAGTGGTGGTGAGCTGTTCCAACGCTTCCTCGAATTCCCCCGCCACCTTATTAAATCGGATCAATCTCACAGCTCGGCTCAGCTCATATCCTCGCTTGTCCTTCTTGATGTAACCACAGTGGTTCTTGTTTTTGTTTTGTTTGCATTTCTACCAGGAACACCCCTCACTTCTAGGTCCGCCGCTGTTCTCGTATTCCCTACCGGGCTCTCCCTCACCGCCGCGACTTTGGTGTCACCTGGTTGCGCTGCGTCTCAACATGGCAACCATGGAATCACAAGCCCGGCCCGTTGACACGTCGTCTGCGCCTTACAATGGCCCAGGGGCTTTCCCAACGGGAGGAGCACCGCCCGCAGACAAGTATCTCCAGTCGCAGCCTGAGTACGCCCAACCGACTCGTCCGGAGGATTACCCCCGCCCGTCCCGAGAAGAGGACCCTCCGCGCAAATCCGACCAGTATTCCATCCGCCAGAACCAACCAGCGCCGCCCTACATCACATATGGTCATCCTCCCCCGATCCCAAAGGTCGCCGTCCAGCCTCCGGTGGTCGAGAAGATGGCTGGGCCGGCCGCTTACTACCCGGCTCCTCCCTCCCAAGCGGGAACCATGGCCGAGCTGCCCCGCCCTGCCGCTGCGCTCCAGCCGATCACGACCACAACCCAGGATATCCGGTCGCTGAAGACGAGCACGCAGTTCGCTATGCGAGAGTACCTCTCTCTCATGCGCAAGAGACGCCCCGACGGCTCGTCGACGATGGAGCTAGAGGATCAAATTCGGGCGCAAGGCCGCATCTTGGTTGGGGACCTGAAGACGCTGCGAAAGGAGGTTGGGGTGTTGATCAAGGAGGGCGAGAACCACCGTTGGAGGAATTGGCTCATTGGAGGAGCTGTGTAAGTACCTGGAGATATATTCACGGGTGCGCTGTGTGAGCTAACAAAAAGCAGGGCAACCTTCATCCCAGCTGTTAAGCGCGTCTTCCGTCGGCCTTCCTCATCTGAGGGCAGGTCAAGCATCCAGGCGAGCAACAACACCGAGTACGCCTTTTCTAAGAGCAAGGCTATGTTGGCGCGCATCAAAGACAGCGTTCTCGGTCGCAACAGCTTTGCCAGCATTGCCTTCTTCGTCTTCGCCGTGCTTTACATCTTCTCGAACGAGGTCTCCCTGATGGTGGCCAAGACCGTCTCGAAGCGGCTGAAGCGGCTCGGCGCCAAGATCGAGCGCGGCGATGTTGAGGTTGTTGACAGCGATATGAAGCTGCTTGAGGGGTGGAGATGGAGAGTCCTTATGTGGGGGCAGTGAGACGATTTCATGAGCCTGATGAGTGGTTGCATGTACTAGACATGATGGATGAGTAGACGACAGCGTTGCATGGCGACTGCGTGTGTTTCCTTTGTGTTTGGAAATATTTCGGAGTATCTACCAGAGTTTTGTTTCTCTTTATCTCATCTTACTTATGGACTTCAATAAGAATTAGAAAACGGAGATTGCAAAGGGCAGCAGTAGACCTCCATCCTAAGCTTGTTTGATGCGGGATTCTCTGAGAACACCGACTCTATCGGGGACCAATTTGCTTTAAGTGCATATTCCATCGTCGGTTATGCATATATGCATACAGGGACCCACATTGCACCTTCATATTCTCTAATCGCGACGAGAAACGCTCCCGTGGATTGCATCAATATCAAAGACTCTGGACGAGGAAAATCATCTTCGGATATCCGTCCATCGCATCCGACGCAAATGTCCGACGCAAATGTCACAGTTTTGACGCATGAATGGTGACATTTCTCTACTCCTTAACCGCCTTCCCATCGGCGGCTGTTCTTGTTCGCCCACCGTGCGCTTCAACGTCCGCATAGGCAGCAGGCCGTCCCCAAACTAGGTTGGCTGTTCACGCACATCCTATCGCAGATGGCCGGCGAAAAGAGGTCGCATCCTGATGCGAACGCAAATCAAGCAGAAGGCTCGTTCGATTCTCACAAATTTCGGCGCATTGGACGGCCTACTTTCGAAGCACCACGACCAATAGAGCCTGGCACCCACGCAGACGCGTATTATCGCGACTTATACACCGGCACGCACGATTACGCTGCGTTGGGCCAAAAGCACACCAAACTTGGCGCGAAGTAAGACACCTTTTGCCGCGGACATGAGAGAATACAGCTAACTTCCTCTCAGACTCAGCGGAAACACACTCGACTTTAATGACCCGCATGCCGTCATCGCACTCAACAGCGCACTGCTGAAGGAGCATTTTGGTCTCCAAGTCGATTTGCCTGCTGACCGGCTATGTCCACCTGTGAGCACAATCCTTGGCGCATTGGCAAAAATCTGACTGCTTGAAGATCGCTCAAAGACACAACTACATCCTGTGGCTCAAGGATCTACTCGACAGCACTTCCTACGAACAGCCAGATCATAGAAGAATCGTCGGTATGGACATTGGAACTGGTGCATCATGTATCTTCCCTCTCCTTGGATACACACAACGGAGATGGTCCTTCTTCGCAACAGGTACCCGTCCTCGATGACTGGTGGAAGTAATAACTGACTGGTGCAGATATCGACGATAAGAGCATCTTCTACGCAAAAGAAAACGTCAAACTCAATGATCTGCAAAATTACATTAGTGTCGTCAGACGCAGCCCCGAAGAAAAGTTGGTGAATCCTGAGGGACTCGGTGTGGATCACCTGGATTTTGTGATGACCAATCCCCCATTCTACACTTCTGAGGAAGAGGTCAAAGCATGCGAACAGTCAAAGGCTACAGCCCAGGAAAATCATTTCGCCATCGCCGCCAATGAGCAATTCACTGAAGGCGGAGAAGTCGCGTTTGTGGGCCGGATCCTGGAGGAGTCTCTCGAGTTGAGGGAGCAGGTGCAGTGGTACACCAGTATGTTTGGCAAGAAGGCCAGTCTCGACGCCACCTTGGAGAAGCTTCGAGAACATCAGATTGACAACTTTGCGGTGACTGAGTTCATCCAGGGACCGAACTCGAAGACCAAGAGATGGGCTGTTGCGTGGAGCTTTGCGGCGATGAGGCCTTGCAACAAGGCTGCGAGGGGCTTGGCAGCAGCTCAATGGAGGGCTATGCTTCCTCCAAACACTGAGACGGAGGTTGTGGAGTTTCCATTGGATAGGGGCGTTGGAGCTCTGGCAAACAATCTGCAAGAGGTGGCGAATTCTTTGGATTTGACATCATGGGAGTGGGATCGGGAGCAGCTCGTTGGTATCGGCAGAGCAAGAGAGGATGTGTGGAGCCGAGCATGGAGAAGGAAAAAGATGCGCGAAGAGAGGGAAGGGAAGAAGCCTGAGGATATCTCGACACCCGAGCAATGCGCGTTCGGTTTCGAGCTTGCCCTCGAGGTCGGGGCGGAGAGGATTAAGGTCATCTGCCGGTGGAGAGAAGGGCACTCCAAGCCCCTTTATGACAGCTTTTGCGGCTTCGTAAAGACCAAACTGTCAAAGTCCAATTGAGAAAGGATTGGTGAGAGACGGACATACAGGGAAATGGCGAATCGATCGTCATGCGCCAGGATTAGAGGCGTTACACTGAGCGCGGGCTATTCAGGCTCAAAGACATGCTACTATGCGTCTGTGTAACAAGTGCTGAGCCTTTTCACTCGTGAACTAGCTTGAAAAAGGGGTAGACAGGCATCTCGCAGCCTATTCCGGGAACGTATAACTGGGTCGTTTCAGTGAATTAACTACACGAAAGCATTTGGTTCAAATATTGTGGGAATTCTTGGATTTGTCTCTGTGGATCGGTGGCCAAACGCTGGAAAGGTGTCGTGAATCAGACACTATCTTCGATCGTTGAGAATTATAAATGGCAGTGATGGCCACCTCACCTGGATAGAGGAAACATCTCGAGTTCCAAGAAAGCATAAATACACTACACCAAACCCAAAAACATCTCCAGCAACCGCAAATCTTCCCAAAATGGCCGACAACCAACCTAGCAAACCAGAAACCGTTGTTGACGAGTGCATTCCCATGAGCCGCACCTGCCCTCACGGCGTTAGTAGAAAGCATTGTGTTTACTGCTCACCGCGTCTCAGATTGTGAGCGAGGCAAACTTCATTAAAAGCAAGAAAAATGAGTGCCAGTAGCAATATAGAGGACAAATTGCGGCAGATTCTCGAGATAGTTAAGCGGACGAGGGGGGGGAGCGTCGGACTAGTTGACCAATGTCTTCGGCTTGGAAGTAAGCTTGGAAATATCAACATAATCTTTCCTCATCATAGCGGCACGTCACGTTGACAAATGTATCTACTTTGAAGAATGTCAACCAAACAAGCAAAGGGAAACAATCAACAAGCCAAGCTAAATGATCTGGTTTAAAAGAATAACACAAACAGTCCTAACATCCATCAAACCAAACCCAAATGCCTCAAAGCAGTCCACATCCTTCGCGCATTATTTCCCATGCCATTGCCCGCCAGCTGCGGTCCAATCGTCGCCCTCAACAGATGCTGATCCCGCGCATCCATCATGTCCCACAGCTCTCTCAACACATCCATCTCCGACCGCGTCTCCCGGAAGATCCTCGCATACCCGACAAACAACAACTGCGCAGCCCCAGGCGGCATAAACGCCTCAACCCGCGGCATAAACTCCAACAGAAACTCCCCAATCGACCGCGCAAACATGTCCGAACACCCCAGCGCGCGGTCCTGGTCCAGCACGCAGCACAGCAGGAAAAGGTGCCAGTACACCTCCTGCACGACCTGCACCCTGTTCCTCTCGTTCGCGAGCAGGAACCGCGGCCGCGAGAAGAGGTCGACGTCCGGCGGGCCGCCGTACTGCTGGTGCGTGCGGCACATCATCTCAATGTACCGGAACACGAAACCCGCCGCGCGGCTGAGCCCGTCGCGGAAGCGCAGCGGGTTGAAGTCCGGCGCCTCGAAGCCCGGGTTGTAGCCGCGCAGGAATTCGGGGACCGCGAAGTCGCCGCCGAGGCCGGGGACGAAGTTGCGTGTGCGCGGGAGGTGCTCGTGCATGAGGTCGCGGTCGACGAGGATGCGGCTGCCGTCGGGAAGGACAACGGTTACGCGGTTGCGGAGGCGGCCGTCCGGGCGGAGGGGGTTGTTGGTGTTGTTGCCGTAGGGGTGGAGGTTGAAGAGGGAGGCAAAGTCGAAGGGCCGCGGGGCGAAACGTGTTTGGGCGAAGCGGGGGTAGGTGTTGAAGGTGTTGATGTTGACGCGGTTGCCGCTGTGGACGTTGTTGTAGGCTGGGCCTGCGGCGGGAGGGGCCCAGGGGAAGTCTGGGGGGTTGGGGTTGTAGGTCCATGGGCGGAACATGTTGAAAAGTCGTTAATGTTTTTGGTAGAGGGAATGGGAGGTTGTAGCAAGTTGTGATGTCGAAGAGAAGGCTTCAACTTTGTACGGTTTCTGACGACGGTGTTTGGTGACACGTGTATCACCAACCAAGACGGCACATGAGGCAGCATGTGTTTGCTGAACTAGACACAAGTGACTACCCGAGCTCACCGCTTGTTTTTGATTGGATCTCCTTGACTCTTTCTTGCGGTGAAATAGAGCATTGAGATCGGTGAGCGGGAAACCTTGGAGGCTGAGGCTGGGCTCAGGCCAACGAGCCTTATTCCAGGTCGTAGAAAGATTGGCTTAGACACGTGTGTTTGGGACTAGGGTCTGGCTGTCTCGTGGGAGCGTTTGAAGAGATATGTCATGGTCGACGATCTCTCTAACAGAGAAATGAATTTGACCAGTTCCACTAACAGACACCTCGATGAAATGCATTTTCCAAAGAAGGAATGCCTTGGCTACATCAGCACTGTACTTTGAAGAAATGTGATCACTACATGCCTACCTTTTGAAGGCCACGAACCAACAGTTGTTTGAGGGCTTGGCTAAGACCGACGGACCCTATAATGAAAGGGATGAGCTGCCCGATGGTCCTAAGTGTATTGACCCCTTGAATATTGTTCCACGCCAAAGTGAACTCGATGGAGGCGATGAAGAATGCGATTGCAATGACAGCAAAAACATTAGATATAACGGGGGAAAATATCCCAAACAAGCTAGATGAGTTAGCGACATAGCCTCATATTGCTCCCAGAGATCTGCGTAGCAAGACAGAGTATGGATACCTTGAGCGTTCCGAGCTGTCTGAGCCTTGCGTACTGTCTATTACGCTAGTCCAAATCTTCTCTCTTGACTCGGGACGGCTAAGGAGCGAGACGATAATGCCCATTATAGCACTAGACCTTGTTTCTAGGTCGCTGAAAAGGCGCAGTTCGAACAACAAAATGTGCCCTAAGATGATTTCACAGAGAATTATTAAAGTGGTGACAAAATTGAATGGCGAAATGTCGAAGAAGAAATTTCTCCTCAATAGTTTTAACCGCCTTTCCAAAACAGGTTCATGCTTGGCTTTTATCTGCCCGATCCGGACTTTGAAGTTTGGCCACAAGTAGAACGCTGCGTGTCTGAAAGCACAAGACGTGATGAAAAACACCATAAAACAGGTGCAGCAAACAAGCCACACACCGATTGGCGCCACTGCGAAGACTGAGATGATTGAAATCGCTTTTGAGAACTGAGTTACATCAGCGAATGATTTCTTGCCGAAGAGACATACGGAAAGGACTCCACAGGGCTCATCTTCAAGGTCCGTTGAGGCGATGGCAAACCAAAAGTAGACATTGAAGCCCACAATAGCGTGAACAATTAATGTTCTCCACAGAACGCCTGACCAACTCAGATGTCTGCTCTTTAACCCTTCAACAAAATCTATAGGAAGGATGTTGCCTGCAAAGTCCAGGTCTAGGTCGACAGGTCGTGTGGTGTTTATAAGAATAGCTTCTTGTAACTGTAGCGTTTCCTCCTTGGAGAGGAGTTTGAAACCTCGTCTCAAGTCTAAAGCTGCTAGGTAGAAAGGATGAAGACCAAGCATGATGGTTAATTCCCAATCCCTACCTCGCTGGAACCTGACTGTGAATGGAATTAAAGGATGCCATATCGCACTTCTGTAGTCCTCTGCACATGGATGATTGTGACGGTCAACGAGCTCTTGAAGTTGAGATGCAGTCCAAAGGCAGTCCGATCGCTTCTTCAAGGCCACGCTCGCGTCAATTCGCTGACGGTTATGACTGGTAACATATTTGAGTAGGTTCAATGCTGATCCTCTCTTCTGAAGCGTATTTCGCAAGCCGAATGTTGGCAGAACTGTAACGATAAATCCGAAAGCAAACTGTAGCATGATGTACAATTCAATGATTTGTATAGACTCGTCATGTTTGGCGACAATGATACCGATTATAACGGCCAGGACAAAGATGGCGTTGACCTTATGAACCTCTTCGGCGCGTTCCGGCTCGATAAGCATTTGAAGCCACGAAGACACCCACTGGCAATAAATTCCGATGCGTATTCCCAGGCCATACAGGTCTGGGTTTCCTTCCAGAGGAGGGCAGGTCGATCGATCCGCCATTCTTATGCGAGAATGGATGTTTGCAAACGATTCGTCGAACAAATTAAAGCTCTGTTCCAATTTGTAATACGACAATTGAATCAGGGATATGACTTCGTACGCACAACGAGCTGGCAGAGTGATGTCTGGTTGAACACAAGAAACATGTGTTGAACACAATGCTTGAAGAATCTTGACCACGAGAAGAACGTGTCTTGGACTGAAAATCCAGCAGGAATAAGGCTGCAATTATATACCCAACCCCGCACCTCAGCTGACGCTGAATCGTCTATGATCCAATGAGAAAAAATCCTTTCGTTTGATAGAAGATAATGGAGCGAGATTTGGCGACCTATCAAACGAGTTGGGGGGCCCAAGGATTCCAACAGTTGTGTTACACACCTACATTACGACCCTTTCACAGCAACTTGGCATTGGGGTTTATTTGTGAACATCGCCCTCTTATTCGCTATTTGAGATTTGGAATGCTTCCCGAGTGCAATGAAATATTTTCCGTGCGTCGTTTCAGCGGGAGCAGATTCTCGAGCATACATCAGATTGAAGGAGTTCTGGTCCACGGCGTCCTTGTCTTCCATTTTGTGCCGGTCGCCAAACCCCTCAACAACGACCATCTAACACAGCATAATGTGATGGTGCTGTACAGGTAAGGTAGACGAGCAAAATAGAATACTTGTCAGTCACATGATTCAGTGAGCTCTGTCACGCCTGGGAAGTAAAGGAACGCCCATATGCTCATTTGGGGGAGGCAGTACTTAGTAAGCCTGCAAATTTGTATCTACATGGCGTGGCTGGGTTTGAAGTTGAATTATACATGGAAGAAGAAAGTGTTCAGTGGACCTCCTTGTCCTGAATGTCCATATTGACATTTCATCGTTCCCCTGTGAGTTAGCCTCGACTTGGGAGGATTTACTCCTGCTTGGTCTCCTCGCGCATGCCGCGGGTGATGCGGCTCATGGGGAGGGAAAGCTCGCGGGTGACGAGAGTGGTGCCGGGCATGGGGTAGGACTTGGCGTTCTGGTAGAGGGAGAACCTTTCACTTGATGTTAGACTTTTGTTTTTCGCAAAACCCCTTCTGGGAATACTTACTTCGGGGAGAGACCGGCAGTGTTGGAGTCGTAGACACCAGGGAACTTGGCAGTGGCGGTGGGGACCTTGGTGCCTGATCCAGTGACCTTCATCTGACCGCAGTTGAAGTAGAACTCCGTGCCGGAGGGCTTGTGCAGAGCAAGGTGCTCGGGGCGGACGAGGTAGTCGCCGGCAGCGAGGTCCTCGGGAACGGTCAGTTCAAAGTCTCTAGTGCAGCAGCGAGGAAGAAATACGCACCTTGGGAACGGTGAAGGTGATGATGTTCTTGTTGTAGACACCCCACTCATCGGCGGCTCCAGTCAGGGGGAACTTGGTCGGGCCGGATTCGTAGACTTTGAACCAGTCGCCGGAGCCATCGTAGCTGGAGAGATCGCCAGAGGCCTTGCTCATCCAGATCTGCAGGGGACCAGGGTGCTGGATCTTGGCGCCGTAGTTCATCTGGAAACCGACCTCAGAGCCAGCGGCGACGGTGGCGGTCTTGGCGGCGGCCTTGGCATCGGTGTTGCAGCGGAAGGTGTTGCTGGTCATGATGCTTTTGGACTGGGGCTGGTAGCCCTGGGTGCTGGAGCGCATGTAGTCGGCGGAGGCGACGCCGTTGACGACCATCTTCTCGAAGAAGTAGTGGGCGGAGGCTGAGTCGGCCATGAGGGCGGCGACGGCGACGACGGTGGCGAGAGAGAACTTCATTTTGGTGTTTGTTGGGTGAGGTTGGTGGTCAACGAATCTGGATCGGTTGCAGGGAGAACTTGGACGACTTGGTCAAAAGAACGAATGGCTCGGCTGGCGAGGATCGAATGGCAGTGATTGAATGAAGGAAAGTGAGATGAAGAACCGGATGAGGACGGAAAGGAATGAGAGCAATGGAACTGAGTTGAAGGCTGTCATATATACTTGAATGTTTCCAGCCTTACCCGCGACTCTCGCGTCTTTCGGTCAAGTCCATCCACCTGCTGGACTTTCCCGAAGGAGCAATTTAGATCAGTCTTCGGCTAAAACTGGACGACTGCGAATCGCCCTGAGCAGCGAAGAGCATTTCGTCCGATAGCCGCCCTGCCGTCATCTGAATACAGGTAGATCGCCGCTAGCCGCCGGTCGGATAGGACCACCCATGCATGGACACGGAGAGTTCTCGGACGATCAAAGATCAATATATTTGTTTCCGTCTGGAGTTCTTCTGCCGTATGCTTAAAACACGATGCGTGGGATCTAATCCTCATTCATTCCGCAGGCCCCAATCATGTAGTATCGGGTATGCGTGCCTTTTGTCATTGGCTATGGCTAGATCCTATCTATTGTTCATATGGGCATAGTTCGGACGATTCAAGTGGAGCTCCGATGATCTCGGGTTCCAAGACAGCGGAACGCCAACCGCAAGCTCGGCCTCCCTGCCTGGCGGCCACATTGGAGGCGGGAAGAGCCTGACACGAAGTTACGGTAACGAGCTGAGGACTCTACCTTGCATGATAAGTGGCTATAGGATACTATTGCTGAGACTCAAGTGAGATTTTGCCGTCATCTTTTGTTAGTTTGCATAGCGTTTCCATCAACCTGCCATCTCGACTGACTGGCCGTCACTGTTCGACACGATCTCTCGATGATCGTCTAGATTTTCTGGACATAGTCAGAATCGCCACTCTTCCTCCTGACTGAGGATCAGGTAGATCATAGTCCATATCTGCAATAAAGGAAGATTCCGGCGGCGGTGAACTCGGTTCCCGGTAGTTGCCCGTCGGCAAGGCATGGCGTGGTGGTAGTCGCACGCGGGCGTGCTTCCCGATTTTGCGGTAGGGATCAAGTCGCGTGCTTGCGACCACACATTTTACATACATGGAAATGTTGCGTGAACAATGGGGTAGCTTCTCGATTCGTTATGCCAGCACGCTTGGCGCTGCCGCCGGGGGCCATGGAGCGAGGCCATCGCGTTCTCGGATTCATCAAGCGGCGACCCAAAAGGCACAGACAGGCGCGCACCCCTGGGACAGGAGGTTTCAGTGGGTTCGGCAATGCGACGCCAGCACACGAGAGCATGCCGACCTGGGCTAATGTTGGTTCCATCCTTTCTGCCGTCTGGCTATCCGTACTGCCCAGGGTGCCAGGAAAGGGACAGGCAGTGGGGTTGAGGCTCCTTCGAGATGCAATATAGGCCATCCTGGAATAAACCCAAGCGTCGTCCAAAAGGGAGAATTTGCGGACTCAGATAGCCCTTTTATGCCTGCAATTAAGTCACCACAAAACTATTAATGTACGTGTACGGCCGCGGAGACGTTTCGGTATCTCGGTTCTTGTATTGACCTAGATTTGACGGCGCAGCCCATCAATCCCAACCCCCCAATCCCGAGTAAAAGACCCATAATAAGTCTTGATCAATTTGGAGTACATTCAGGAAATGTTTCCCGAGAATTCCAGCCTCCGCTGTCTACGAGTTACAGAACACGGTGCGTCAACTCTACAGATTCATGTTCGCCGGCGCAGACCCTCTGAGCGATCGTCACGAAATTACTCTTCACGTCTTTTCTCTCGGCTGAGATTTGCCGATGCTGAAAGCATTGAGAGAGCGCGAGACGTTTAATATGGGTTATGCCAAGTTATGGCTTCGCTTGAAAATTGGCTTTTCAACATCATAACGGGCCTGATTCAGTGTAAGCTGCGTGTTCATGAAGTCCTCTAAGAAACTTCACGATCTCTATCTGAGCCGCTGATCATCTAAAATTATCAGATGATTTATTGTTTCATTCAGTGTTGTATCAGTAAAGTGACGTCAGACCCTGCTCACCTCTGAGTACTGGAGATCTTTGGAACTAGTGAACACTGATAGAATTACTTCTCCCAACTGGATGGTATGTATGCTGCCAGGAAAAGCCGAAAGTTGTGTACGTATATCATACAGTGCTTGGAAAAGATAGAGAATCCCTACTTCCCTTGTGATCGACCACTTTATGTGTGGTCGCCGTCGTCTTCATGGTCTTTGTGTTCATCCTGGTCGTCGTCTCTAATCAATGTGATTAGCTATCGCCCTTGATCGAAGTTAATCTTGCAATCAATTGGCGGCACAAGAAAGCTAGACGCTCCAACAAAGAAAACTCCGGCGACCTTGATAAGTATTGCGTCACGTGGGCTGGCTCATGGAACGGAACCCGGAGTCTCCACCTGACCGGACGCGGATATGGCGTGGACTTCGGTCGGGTGGATCCCCGTCCGGCTATCTCACACCTGGGCACCGCAAGGTACTGTCTTCGAGGTGAAAGTCTGACTTGTCGCTGACGATGGCGCGAAAGCATACTTGATTGTATGACTACAATTCACAAGAAGCGGCCATTAATGAGTTGACAACGAAGGAACCAATCGTTCATCCCAAATTTGGCTGCATTGAAGCAACAGGAATCAGTTTCTCATGCTGAGATAAGCGGGGACAGATTCAGTCACTGTAGCCGGGCAAATCTTGAGTCACAATCAACAGAAAGGCAATCGTCAACTTGCGAAAAATCGAGACCAGATGAGGGGTAGACCGGGGACGAGTGCATGATTGCGAGTCCCAAGCAGTGTTGGTGACGCAAATTGTCCAAAGCGACGCCGTCGAGAAATGCGCTGCCGCGTAAAACGTGCTGGCGATGAGCCAATCAGAATGCCAAATTGAATGAGTCAACCGGCCAAACCTCCGCCTAAAACGTGCCACAACCACCACAAACAGGATTGATTCTAGGTGCCTGGGGTCTGAACTGCATGCAAGGTACGATAAGAGCTGTATCGATAACGGCGAGGGCGGTGTTGGACGCCTTGGCGTGACAAGCTGAGCTTCCGTTGCTTGTTACCATCAACGGTAGAGCCACTAGTGAAAGCGATGGCTTTTGGCTTGAGCGGAAATCAATTGGTCTTCTGCAGGCTTTCAGTAAGGCACCCAGCATGGCATTTGTGGGTGAGGTAAACCGCGGCAACAGCCACCAAGCCAAGAGCTGTCGGGCGGTTTGTTCAGGGGTGATGGAGGCAAGATGCAGCGAAGGATCGCTTGGACCTGGTGACGAGAAATCCTTCATACACCCATCAATGGTTGAAGTATAAAGCAGGCCCCTCGCCGCTGAATTGTCCGGTTTCTCAATCAACCCTCTTGTTCCACCCCGGACACAACTCTGCATTGTCACTCTCGGCCCATTTCGAACATCACAGCCATGGACATCGAGAAGAAGGAGTATCATGTCCGCGATCTCCCCACGCGGACCGTCACCCTCTTTCCCACCAAAGCTCAAGTCGTCCGCGACCTCAAACAACTTGCCCTCAAGGTAAATCCTTCCATCCACTTACTATTGAGCATGCCCTAATGCCAGCCCAGCCCGGCACGAACGAAGTAACCATCATCGGCCTCACCCCAACCGTCGACGAGTCCACCATCAAAGTCGAAGGCACCGGCTCCGCAATCATATCCGACATTGCGATCGAGCTTCTGCCTAACCGCGACATCTTTGAAGAGGCCTACCCCGAGATAGACTCAGACCTCAGCGACGACGATGAGGACGATGTCGATACAGACAAATATGAGATCCCTGACTCCTCGGCTCTCCAAGCCGCGCGCGCCAAAGTGGTAAAACTAGAAGACGAAGAAAGCCAGGCCAGAGAAATCCTCGACAGCTCCGCCAAACGCCTCGCGATCCTCGACGCCCACTGCAAAGTCCTCGACGAGAAGAAGAACGTCGACGTCGTCCAGCTCATGACCGCCTACCGCGCCGAGCGCGAGAAGGTCTTCCAGGATCGCATGGCCGGCACCATCCGCCAGCGCGAGAACAGTGCCCGGCTTAAGGCGGCCCGCGAAGAACTCAGCCGGCTGCTAAGGCAGAAGCAGAAGGAGGAGAAGCCACTGAAGCGACAACAAACTCTCGCCCTCAAGAAGCAGACTCGGGACAATGTGAAGAAGTGGCGAAAGGCAGAAGAACGCAGGAAGGAGAAGGAGCGCATCCGCCAAGAGAGAGAGCGCTTCTGGCCGAAGGTGTGCTACGCCGTCCGCGTTACCCTCGAAGCGCACGCCTTCACGCCCATGTCCTCCCGCCGCACCTCCGTCTCCAGCGAGACCGCTCAGCCCTTCAACCCGGCAGCCGAAACGGAGACAGAAGCCGACCTCACCTGCGACCTGTCAATCTCCTACATCACGGCCGCGGCGTCGTGGTCGCCCAGCTACGACCTCCAGCTCTCGACGACAAACAACACCGCCACGCTGTGCTACGACGCCAGCATCACCAACGAGACCTCCGAGACGTGGAGCGGCTGCAAGGTTGTGCTGTCCACCTCACAAACGGCCTTCTCCGGGCTTGAGCAGGAGATCCCCGAGCTGAAGCAGTGGAACATTAAGCTCGCGCCGAAGATCGGCGGCGGCGGCGCGGGAGGGAGGAATATCCTCAACAGCCGCGAGGAGAGGGCGCAGCGCGAGGCGTGGCGGAAGACGCAGGAGACGACTACACAGAGCCACGTCAAGCGCGAGGAGCTGTTTGGCGTGGAGGCTGTTGCGTATGCTGCCTTTGAGTGTATCCCGGAGGAGAAGGAAGAGTCGGACGATGACATGGGCTTCGGGCTGTTTGACGATTTGCCAGCTCCGCAGGGTGCGCAATTCGACAACATTGAGATGGCAGTCGCAAATAGCTGCGCCCGAAAGGGTCGCCAATCCGTCGGCTCGATGGTCGGCTCTGCGATTAAGAACGCCGCCCGTCGCAAGGAATCTCACGATCCCATCCAGGAGTACAGCGCCTCTCCACAGGACCTGATGGACGCCGCGCTGGACTTTGAGGAGTCTACGATCGAGGAGACCGGCCTGACGACAACGTACGACCTCCCCGGCACCAAGACCCTGCCCCCACGCCCAACAGCCTCGAAGCAGCGCGTCGCGAGACTAAATTTCTCCGGCGTCGTATTCAACCACACCGTCGTGCCAAAGTACAAGCCCGTGGCGTTCCTCAAGGCGAAGCTGCGCAACAGCAGCAGACTATCCCTCTTGAAGGGCGACGCGGGGCTGACGCTGGACGGCACGTTCATGGGCCGGACGACGCTGCCGCGATGCAGCGCGGGCGACAGCTTCACGCTGGGTCTGGGAGTCGACCCGGCCATCATGGTCAGCTACCCCGTCGCGAACGTCCGGCGGGCTACGACAGGGTTCCTCTCTAAGGAGAACAGCTCCGTGTACAGCCGCAGCATCACAGTCGCGAATACGCGCGCCGCGGCGGGCAAGCCTGTGTCCCTGCTTGTGCTGGACCAAGTCCCTGTGTCGGAGGACGAGAAGCTGAAGGTGGACATCCTCGACCCGAAGGGCATGCTTGTTGAGGGCGCGGGTGTGGCGAGTGGGTTGCCTGGCCGTGGGGAGAAGGAGGACATCAAATGGGGCAAGGCGACTTCGACGTTGAAGAAGGGCGGGCAGGTCGAGTGGGAGGTCAGCTTGAATGCAGGCAAGGCTGTGAAGCTTAGCCTGGAGTATGTCGTCGCCATGCCGTCGGGAGATTCTGCTGTGGAGTGTTAGGGGTGCGAGGGCGGCCGGGAAGAGGATCTGCCTCGGCCGCTTCTGCTCCGAGCGTGTAGCCTAATGTAGTGATGCCGGCGGTTTGGCCGATATGCCCGGGACTTTGGTAATGCAGGAAGCATTTCTTTTTAAGGATATCTTAACGACTATCTTTTACCATGTCTTTGATTGCCTGTGTTCTGATAACCTTTTGAACAGTATCTCTTTGACAAAGACGCGGGCATTGTTCAATACATTTCCTTTGAAACCTTGGAGCGATGAACTCCATTCTCAACTATTCGACGTGAACCCTTTGATTATGTAGCAAAAGCAAAACGAATCCGACCCTGATATCATTGAACAACCCAAACTCCCTCATTTTGAAACTCATGGCATCTCTGATCTCTCATTTATGGCCGGCATCTCATGGATGACCCTCGGATCATCAGGCAGCTCCGCATGATAATGGCCTTGCGGATAGTACGGTGAATTTGGCGTTCTTGGAGTGCCGCTTGGACTTGGAACCACGGTACTCATGCTCATGTCAGACACTGGTCGTTGAATACCCATGCCGTCGGACACAGTAGAGGGCGTGTTTGGCTGCACAAGATTGCGTTTCTCGTCGGGCGGCGCAAGCTCGGCAGCACCGCCCCCAGGGGGTACATAAGGAGCAGCTGGAGCGGCAGCGGCGGCAGCATCCTGTCGTTGCTTGGCCCGGCGGCGACGCCACATGAAGAAGAAGCCGGCCAGAACAGCGACGACCCCCAAAGTCGACCCAACTGCAATACCCGCGATAGCCCCTCCGCTCAAAGCTGCGGCTGCCTCTGGCTCAGCTGTCGGAGTGGACGTGGACGTACTCGTTGCCGTAGACCCCATATCGGGCGCCGTCTGTGTACGCGTGACAGAAGTCTGTCCGGCGCCGCTGCTCTGTGGGCTCGGGTACGTAGGCTTCGGCTTGCCTGACGTGTTGACGGTCATGGGCACGCCGCCGGTAGAGTTGAGCGTCTCCCGGGCGTACATCGCGAGCACCCTCGAGCCGAGGTCGGTGCAGAAGCCGAGTGGCGGCAGGTTTTGGATGGTATCTGGCCAGACGGTCTGGGTGACTTGGGGCTTGTTCGACTCCACGGGGCAGAAGTCGCCGCAGGTGTCGGGGTGGTTGCAAGCCCAGAACTTCTCGAAGCCTTCGTTGTGGGTGTCGTTGCACCTCACGAGGCCGACCCATGGCGACTTTCCTGTGGGGATGGTTGGCATGATTGAAGCTCCCAAGACGTCAGTGGAACTTACCCGGATCAAGGCCGCCCTTTGGAGGGCAGTTGTTGTGCTCGTATGTCGGATCATTGCAGCCATACTGATAAGTTACGCCTGTGGTGTTGTCCCAGCAGGCCTGAGAGATGCAGTTGTCACCGGCGAAGCAGCACCAACTGGAGGCATAGTCCTTAGCCTGAGACATCGAGCCATCATCGTTCTCTGTGAGGCAGGGCACGAGCGAGGGATGTGCGGGAGAGTCCTTGGCGTAGTAGCACTGGTTCCAGTCTTTCACTGGACTCTGCGCTACGACGAGCAGCGCCGAGGCGAGCAGAACGAGGGGGAGCATCGTGAAGCTCGATCGTGGGCGCGGTGTGGTGGGTATCGTGTGGAGCAGAAAGGACCGTGTTGAGAAACACGTGGAGGCGAGAAATTTGCGGACCCTGTCGCCTTCAGGAAACGAAATTGACCATCCGTCGGGGCCGGCGTGGTGGTGTTTCCTGGGGAAAAAACAAACTAGCGACCGTTGGCGATGAAGGAAGAACAACAGTCGAGACGAGAGTTGTTGGTGAATGGGTCGAGGTCCAAGTCGAGGCGGTCGCGGCCGATTCGAAGCAGAAAGGGAAGGAAAGAAGGAAGGCATGGCACCTGCCCTTGGGAATGGATCCAGCGGCAGATCATTTCGTTTTCCCTGCAACAATTTTCCAATAAAAGTCCCCCTGCCTCTCCCCTCTCACTCACTCACTTCTCGTTCTCAGCCCGTCAGCCCATCTGTCAACCTTTGCTTTTTCTCCGTCATGTTCCACGACCAACAGCACGGCAGCACCAACAAGCTGAACTACAGCCAAGCGTGTAAGCACAAGCAAACATTTCACAGCCCCCAACGGCCAAGCCGTAGCCTGCTCCCGAAGTGGCACATGGGCTAGCCAACCAACATGCTGCAACAACAGGATCTGCGGAGAATTGCACACGAGCTGTGTTCCCCGTCTGTGCCGGGGTTTTCTGATAGGCCCGCTGCCGGGGTCGAACCCCGACGCTTACAACGCGGGTGCAGACATGAGAGACACGGAGAGTGATGCCAGATTGGACGAAAACCAACTCGAGTTCAGCAGGGGTGGCGTAATTGAGCGGCCGCCTCAAGGGCTACGACTGCCTATTTGATCAACATAAAGTAAGCCGCCATCATGCATCCGTTGACCTCTCATCACGAAATATTGGGTCAAATGGCTGGCCTCTCGGGGCCCTTTTTTCTTGGAACACATTATCTCGTCAGGGCGTATACAAGCCACGTTCATTTAGTGCTCGATTATTACTGCCCACAGAGGCGAGGAGCGCAAGTCAAAAGACGGCATCCTCGGCATACGAGATTGAGAGCTGCCTATGTCACTATACATCTGGTGACGTCTGTACATGAGTACGGATAGTTCAAGGTATCTCTCAAAGCCTGGGAAGGTTGGTTGGACCGGCCGCATAACTCTGACCAGAATCTTGGGTCTGGCGGGTCAGCCCCATTGACGCGACCACATGGTCTTCCATCACTGGATAATTCTTGTCCTGACTCAAGATCTGCAGTTTCTATCACCCCCAAAAAGATAGCAATCGTAACCCGGGCCCTTGGTGGAAGGAGCACTCCAGCAGGGCCGTTTGCGACCAACATGATGAAAGGAGTCGTACTTCCCAGGAGCGGTAGCCAACGTCCATCGCGCCTCTCTTCACCTCGTGACAGTATCAAAGCAGCTGAAGTCTCTAAGCACGGCCACAACTAACGGATAGTGAGAGGGCTGTTAGACACGCGAAGAACATCGTGAACATACCGAGTGAGGAGGGTGGAAATATTGAGTCTTTGCCGTCGTAACCTGGCGGAGCCTGCTAAAAAGATCGCGCCTGCCGTCTCTACTCCCCTTCCCACGTTGGCACTACTTTCGCGTCACCGCGCGTCAACGCGGATAGACGTCTGCGTGAGTTGTATAAAATATTTCTTCTTGCCAACGAGCTCAACCGTCTCGGGCATCTTTGACTTACTACGGCTTTAGAGCCATCAGGAGTGTATGAACAAACATTTGGCTTGGCTTACCGTCCAGAGCGCTATGAGTAGCGTTAATGCGGTTCGAGTTCTACACAGCCGCAAGACATGAGGCTGATCTATGGATGATCCTGAACTCATTCGGGCCGGCTAGATTTGGGAAACCATCTGCAGAAATGGCTTGGATGTCACGAAGGCCAAGGTTGGTGGTCAAGGTAGCTGTCAGGCCAAAACGGCCGTGGGCTAAGTATACTTTCGACGGAGACGCCGCCGCCCTCTTGTCATTGGTCTTGAACTTTGAACGGTGTCAATGTTTCGGATCCCTCCGCCGACATCTTAACTGGTATTGGTCGGTATTATTTCAGTGCCTGCAGGCAGAAAAGCAAGAAAGGATTCACCCTTTAGCTTCTGGTCTTGCGGACTGTTCTATTGAGACTTTCGGCCGTGGTCGCTTCATGTACCTTCGTTTGGCGCCTTCTCACGAGTCGCATCTCTCGCAGCCTCTAATGCCGGGCCCCTTTTACTGCAGATACATGTCATATTCCGTCTTTTGATTTGACTGCAGTCCTACAATTAACGGAGGTCACCTATTCTAAGCATCGGTGGCAATACCGTAGTAATCTAGTTAGGGGTGTTTTCAGTAACATTTTTGATGGCTCTGAACACGTCACCTCCCATCAAGAGACCATCTGACCATGCCCAACCTTAAGCCTTTCAGTCCTCTCCCGTAGGAAAGGTGGCGATGCTGTTAGAGCCATCAAAATCGACGATGAAGAGCAGACTTCGCAGTCCTCTCAGTTTCCTTTGGCATTGGATCAACAACGCAAGGCAGAAGGCGGACATGCGCAGACTGATTCGTCCCTATATAAAGCCATTATAAAACCAATGGCACCGTCAGCCAACACAACCTCTTGGGTTAAGACGTCATCCAATCCATATGCCACTTAGAAGACTCGTTCCAGTTAAACCGGTTAACACTATTAAAAATATGATATTCCGGCTGCTTGGTAACACGCGTAAGGTCAGACATAGATCTATAAGTGCTACTGAATACTACATCCGGGTAGTATTATCGGCTGTTCTATTGAGGCTCTCTGTCACAGAGAGCGAGGTGGTTAGATCAGTGATAAGGAAATCGTAGCTTAAGTACCGTACTCTAGAACAAAACTCGGCAAAACACTGTGTTGGAATCCATATCGAGGTGCTGTGGGACGAATTCAGAAAAGAGCGCCTGAGGTCAGTTGGGTTGCGACTTCCCGTTGCTGCTTCTCTCAATCGCGTCGCGGCTTCGGCTATTTACCCACCACCTCCTACATCAGTCTCAACTCTTACTTTCTTCCACTACCAAAACCTCCTGTACCGTGAAAGTTCTTTCACCTCCAAACTCCCCCCAAGCCAGGGTATCTCCCACTTCTCAGCTTTCTCCTTCCTCCTTCATCGGCTTCACCTCCAACCCACTGGCGACCTTCTTCCATTTCCAATCCTCTGCCACCTCAAACTCCTCCCCTCCCCAATTTCTCTCACCTCCCACCTTCTTCGACTGTCAACTCCTTCCGCCTCCAAACTTCCAACTTTCCCTCGCAATCAAAATTCGATCCTCCCCAGTCCCTTCCCGTTTCATTTTGGGACAGCCTCGGGCCCTCAAAAATGGAGTCCTTGCCAGTGGAGACGATCGTGGAGATCATGCGACAGAGCGACGGTATCGGCGATCTTCTCGCACTTGCTTCTACGTGCAGACGCCTTCACACGACTT